TCAGATATATATATATATATATGTTGGCCCTGTTCGATCCGCCAGTTACCAGTTTCATGCATTTTTATATGTGACAAAAGCGAGCAGTAAAATATGAGAAAAAAAGATCGAATTGTACCATTGGGACGTCCCTGTAATGGCTACGGCTACGGTTACCATTACGAATCAGACAGCGGCACAAGTCATCAGTTTTTATGCCCTTGCAGCTGATTCCAGTTGCATCGGAGTCGGAAACGGGGCCCGAAACTCCGAAACTCTGACGCATGCATCAATGTGCTGCCTGGCTGATTGCGGCTGCAGTTGTCAAAATGTAAATGCAGCCCAAAGTTAATAACCGTGCCGAAGGGGGCCATCTTAAATGCAGTACGTTTTCCGACATTCAACATTCCTGCATTTTCCGGTTCATACTTTTCTGGATTTGTCGGTTAAAGAGTAATTGCATTTAATATTCAAATTGTGTTGGTTAAGGGTCATATTTTACTAATTTGCAGAAAGTTAATGCTAAAATATAGCTTATACATCTTTTAAGACACTTAGGGCTTATATGAAACATGTCTTTGCTTTCCCAAAAAAAGCTACGACGTAAAAGGTGTTGATTCCCGGAATACTCTTTGTTCTAGGAATTAAAGGAAATACCGCTTAAGAAATTAAAAAAATCCCACCAATATTTTGATAATGGAACTGCGCACTGAACCTATACAAACTGATAATAATGATGATTGATGATGAGTGGGGGTCATGACGTCTTTCTTTTAAATCATTCTCTTGCCTATCGCCACAGTGATTAATAGACCTACTACCTACACCTGCTTCATCGACAAACATTTTAGAGTCTGGTTTTTGAATTCAATTGTGCTCAATTATTTCGCATGAAATCCAACAGGAAGAATGTGATATTTGGTATTTAGATTTACATTACAAAAGCATAAAATGCATGCAAACTCTTCCGTCCGTCATGCGATAGAAATGTATTGTTTTACGAGCCCAGCAATTTGAATTTGTTTTATGGGGGCTCCCTCGATTGTCTTCGTGTCCAGTTATTACCGCCAAAAGCCTGCTGATGAAATCAAAATATGGGAGAAGTATTTTCATAACCAGCGCCAAACACACACACACACACACACATAGGGCCGAGTACACTGGGAAAAGCCGGGGGGGTGGAGGAGAACTTTACAGCTCGTTTTTGAGGTACGCAACGATGTCCTGCGGCGGCCTTTTGGGCCCTCCAATGAACATGAACATTTGAAACGAATTCGGTTCGCATTCCTTTTTTATGCTTTGTTTTTTTTTCGCCTTTTTGTGGTATAAATTTCATTTTTGGTATGTTTAGAACGGCCAGCGGCATATTTTATGTACAACTTCAACACTCCCAGGATTCCAGGATCAGGATGTGTGTATGCGTGTGTTATCGCACTGCATTTATGTATGTATGTGGACGGATGCCTTCCACGTGGGTTACTTAATATACAAAGGCCTTTAATTTCGTCTAAAGCTAAATAAACTTTATACCCTTTGGTATCTGCCACACATCTATCCGCATGTGTATGTATTACGTATACACCTGCGGTCATGCCGCCACCAAAGGACCTTCTCCCTTCCCCCTTCTCCATTCTCCACTCGCCATTCTCCACTCGAAATTCTCCATGTGTGTTTGATGTTTGGGCTGCGTTCTTTGGCGCTCTCTGTTTTGACTGTGTCTGTTCATGCTGTTGTTGTTGTTGTTGTTGTTGCAATGTCCTTGGGCGAATATTTGCATGTTTTATTGTATCTGCTGTTCTCCCAGTTTAGGCCACGCCTCCGCCTCCCACGCCGCCCTTGGCGCCCGGGGGACAATCCACCGCCCTCAGTACGCATGTACCTATGTTTTTAATTCTTTACATCGATATTTGGCCGCTGGCAAGTCAAAAACGCGAGCCGCTGCCAAAGGTTGATTGCGGCCCAGGGAATGGGAGGGTGGAAAATCCATACCCCACTCCCCCCAACCGTACCTGGCTTTGAGCTAGGAAAGCCGGACAGCGGCGCGTTGGAGGCGATTCTCCTCAAAATAGGCATGATATGTGTGCTACACCTTTTGTTATGCATTTGTTTTGATGTTGAAATCTAACCTTAGCCTCCGGCCATTGGCCACATTATTTGCGCTGTTTAAAGAGGTCAAAAACGATTGGTGGGGAATGGGCAGGGGGCGGTGGTTGGTGTTTGGAATTAAAGTCCATTGGCAAGGGCTAATTAAAAGAGTGCTGCATAGTCTTAGGCGCAGGGGTAGGACTTCTTCTCCAGCAGCTCACATATTTACACGCTAGTTTCCCATTACCGCGATGTCTTGCAGTCGCAGTGCGATTTTTAATTTGCGTTATACGAGGAGTTTCCTCTTGCCTGGCCCGCGGCTCACATGTGGAATCGTGGCGGGAGTGGAATGGAATGGAAAGAAGAAGGAAAGGAAGGACAGGATCTGGGGTTGAGGAAAGGATAAAGAAGGAGCCAGGGGAGCCGAGCAGCGTAGCGTGACATCGCAGGAGCAGCAAATGTCACGCTTCACTCATTTCCGTCCCATGATGTCGACGTCGTAGTCATCATCATCGCAGTCGTCGTCGTCGTCGTCGTCGTCGCTGCCTGCTGATGAAGCTCAATGGTTAGTGGCAGTCAACCAGGAGTTTCCCTCCGCCTCCTATAGCTCTTCCTCCTGCATCGGCAAAGAAAACCACATGACAATATTGGTAGGTAGTCTGCACAGAGAGAAATCTCTTTCTTTAGATGGAAAAAGGGGGAGGGCAAGAAATTCATTTCAAAGATAAAATACTTCATACAAGAAAAATGTGCCACTGAGAACATTCAAATATAAATGTGAGATTAGAAGAGTTTCTATATTTATAAACTTCGACAAGCATGGGAATTCCCATTAAAGTTCACCGGATGCTAAAATAAAAATCCTTCAAAAGAACACAAAAATAAATCTGATATCAGTATTGTTTCTGTTTTGAGTCTTAACTGAACAGACCGAAAAGTATCCCAACTTACTAAATACAAAAAAGAGGTTTGATAAGGCTTGATAAGCTTTTGGAAAAACCTTCTTAATAAACAAATATCCATGGCAAAGTAATCCTAATCTTACTTTTCCATAGTTTTCTTTCCGTGCAGAATGCTGGGTGAGTGGGTGAGCGGAAAGTGCTGGATGGGTGGGTAGTAGTAGCAGTAGTGGTGCCCCTTCTCCGGCTGTGTCCTCGTTCAGGTTGCGGTGCTGGGTAGGCAACCTCTCAGCCGGAAGCACTTGAGAACTTGCAATGGCCAACGGGCATTCGGTGCGGTTTCGTGCGTCGTTGCCCCCATTGCCCCGTTCCCCGGTGTCCCCTCCGCCACCATTCCCCCCTTCCGCAGAATCCTTGACGCCGAGTTCGCGAACTGAAAATTCCCTTCGTTTTCATTATGTTGCGGCCACGTTGTCCTTGCCTCGGCCTCGGCCTGGTCTCTCGGCCTGCTCCTGGCTCCTGGCTGCTGCTGCTGCTGCTCCTCCTCCTCCTCCTCCTCTTCCTCATCCTCGTCTTCCTCATGCTGCTCCTGCCGATTCCGCTGCGGCTGCTCCTCCATCATGGTTCTTTTCAGAGACCACGCCATCATTATTATGAACACCGTTATGCCCGCTGGCCATATATTCCAATTTGTTGTTGTTGCCGCCGCTCTTATTTCTCCATCGCCAGCGGTACTCGCCTTTGTTGTTGCTCCTCTTGGTGTTCTTATATGACCGCCAAGTCTCTCTCTTTCCCTGCATACCCATTACTTTGGTCTGTGGTCAGGGGCATGCCAGAATCTTCCTTTTGAAATTTCTAACTTAGGGGGCTTGACAAATTTGTAATCAAAAAATGTGAATAATGTGCCGTTGTGAAAGGCAAAATATTGCCAGAATGAATTTGTGTTTTTAAATATTATTAATAATATTTTAAATATCGTTTATCTACGTTCAAAAACAAATTTTCCAATGAATTTAAATAATATTTTTAGAAGTTTATTTATATTTTTGAAGATGATGAGTTCTTAGGAAACCCCAAAAAATGGTTGCGTATTCGAAGTCGACAAGCCCACAAGCGGTATCTGTGAGTTGCAACCGAACTGGGTTCGGATTATTTCACTTGTTCCCTTATTTTCGTTTATTTTGCAACATTTTGCCGCATTGCATTCGCGTTGACAAAAGTCTTGATGCCTTCGCTCCGTGTGCCATTTATGAGTAATAAGAAGCGGATGACTCCGGGGTCTTGGCAGTTCACTTACCTGTTGTGGTGGCTGCTGCTGCTGGAGATTGGCCCTGCCCTGCCATGCCCTGCCCTGCCATACCGTTGAATTGCATTGCGATTGCTAATAAATTCTAGATTCGGATGGCCAACTGCATATGCAAATAAATAGTTAGGCCAACTAACTGGCCGAGAACGCCTGCGAGCGGTGTAAAAACAACAGCAATAATAACAATAATCGTGCCACATTTAGATAGCGCACACAGAGAGAAACGCTTTTGGCCAATTGAAGAGTTTAAACATTGGGCCAAGTATGAAATTTGTTTGCCCATCTACCCAGCTTCCCTGTCTACTCTCCTCGCTCCTCGCTCCTCGCTCCTTGCTCCTACATCCGAAATGTTAAGTTGCCGCAGTCGCCTGCTTATCTCTGGCGCTGCTTGCAACATTCGCTGGGGGCAATTTTTACTTTTTGGGTTTTCGATACGAGAGCCGCTCCACTGCCTCGGCATCCCTCCAGCTCCGCCCCATCTTTATTGGGAGGACCAAGAGCTGCTGCCCAAATGCAGTTGGCCTCCTGGGCGTGTGGGAGCGTGTGGGAGCCAGGTATGAACTCGTGAGTGGCTAACTAAATATCTAACTTAAAAATATAAAGGCATTATCATCTTCGTATATATTATATAAATTTATGCTAGCCTTCATCTGAATTCTCTTAAAAAGACCCGAACCCAACCCTCGAGAGTCAGTATTAATCGAAACGCCAACATGAAAACCACAAAAATATTTTCTTAAAAATAATTTTAATCGTATTGCTTTAGTTTTTTTTTAGCCTACAAATAAGTGAACTGTTCTAATCGGACTTAAATTAAGGAAGGGTCTCATCTTGACACAGTTTTGTTTTGCCCTTTCTGGATTGACTTAATATTGCTGAGACGGATAGTTTCCTCAATCCACTTAACAAAGTGATTCACATTCGTGTAGACACCGAGGCCATTGCAGAATGATGATCCATAACTAACGATGCCCAGGAGGAAAGTCCGGCGACTTCCCTTACTCTTTGTCCCGTTTATCCTATACGGTATTCTCGCACTTAAAGGACCTCCGGAGTCGCCGTTACAGGTGTCCTTGTAGTTACCGCCAGCACATAGCTGGGATGCATCGAGCTCCTTGTGGAATCTGGTGTTGCAATGTTTGAGATCTATTTTTGTGAGAAGGACTGTCTGTAGTATGTTACTGGATTCACTTGATTGAGTTCTGCCCCATCCTGTGGCCGTAAGTTGTTGCACCTTGCGACCCACTTGATGATCAGTACGCAGACAGATCGGCCGGATGTACTCTGCGAAGGAGAGTTTACGTTTAGAATGGCCTTGCTGGATAAGCTGCTTTAATTTACCTGAGAAGGCCACGTTGGTGGCCAATCGAAGCAGCGCTATGTCATTCTTTGAGACTCGCCCCATGTTGTAGTCAGGATGGATAAATTCATCTTCGATGTCAATCACAAGGCGCCCTGACAGGCAATCCTCTGAAGTGCAATTTCTATCGTATTCTCCCAAGCTCACCTTTCTAAAAATCAAAAACTAAAATTAAGAGGGTTCCTTGGGTAATCCATGGCAGAAACTTACTTGGGCTCCAGGGTAAGGCAGCTGGCTGAAGTCAGTACAAAACCTGCAACAAAAGACAAAAGTCAAAACTAAACTTACTTTCAGAATCTACGAGAAACTACTTACGAGACGTGATCAGCGAACCGCCACCATACATATTTCTTTCGCCCATTATCAATACCATCCAGGGGTTGGCGAACCTCTTAGCATCCATGCCTCCCACAATCCGTCGAATCCGCGACGGGTGCTTGGCTATCCCACACTCCTCCTCGATCAGGGACGCCGATCCTTTGCTCGCTCCAAGAGCTAAGCAGACCAATACAGCAATGCCAGCTGTTAAACTTACGGCTCTCATGTTTGATTTGAGACTGAATCAAATATGCAAAGCTGGCACATTTTTATTCTTTCAGAGAGTGATAAGAGTGAGAGTGACTCAGAAGTAAATAAATTTCCATGGCTCATTGTATTCAAGATAATTCGAATGTTATGAATGATTAAGTAACTGATCTCTGAACTCTAGCCTTACAAAATATATATAACTAAAAAAGGAAATGAAGCTCATTGAGAGCTCATCATAGGTCGGCCTATGCGGTTTATAGCTGAGTGTGCTTGGAAAACACAACCGCTGGTGTTCCCAAACATTCATTCATTGGTTCAAGATTGAAGATTAATTATGATTAATTACTTTAAGTAAAGAATCTCAAACTAACATATCTATGAGTTTGTTTGTTTTTCTTCCTTCTAAACTGGACTGAGTTCGTGTCACGGGGCCACTTCTGTCGTGTGTTAAGTTGGCCGTAAATACTTTTGGCCTCGCCTGGTGTTTGGCATTTGGTGTCTGCTGTCTGTGCTGGGTGCTGTGTACTGTTTGCTGCCCAAGTGCCTGGATGCCTGGATGCTTGGATACTTGAATGTTTGGATGTTTGGGTGCCCTGGTGTCTTACCGTTCCTCGCTTTTTGGCATCTGCTCTTTAGCCCTAAGCTGGGACTCGGTTGTTCGGTTGTTCGTTGCTTTATGAAATATTTGTGCTGCAACTTTATTTACAATTTTTTCGGTTATTTATTGTTGGCAATTTATGCTTTCGTTATGCATTTTTCGTTTCTTGTATTTGGTCAGTTCTTGCATTCTGATTTATTGGTATTGGTATGCCGGCCAGTGTTCCTTTGTGGGCCCTCTACGCTTGGATTGCCCATATTGAAATGAGCCCACACACGCACACCCTCAGTTATATATGTAGGGATATGTGGGATATATGGATGTATGGATGTTTGGATGTTTGGATTTTGGATGTACATATATTGAAACCAAACAAGTTTTGAAAGAAATTGTTGGCAATGTTGCTAGAAATTCGAGTGAAATTGCATATTTCTTTTAATTGCAGCCATGCCGGCAAGTGCAATTAGAGGTTGTAGATGAGAACAGGCCAGTGCAGAGGCGTAGTAGGGTTTAGGGATCGAAATTGATTAGTTTGTTCTGGAAGAGATAGCATTTACTCATTCATGGATGATGTTAATAGAAACATCATTATTGAGGCAACCGCAACCACAGCAATGATTCTCATAACATTTTCTAACCCATAATAACATGATTAATAAAGAAAGAATATCTGTGATTACTTAATCCCTCTTTTTAGGCACGCCTCTGCTAAAACGGCTTGCGATTTCTCTTAGTACCTCGAACGTATTTATTTTTCATTTTCAATATGCATGCTGTCTGCTGAATTCCTGGTCAATTGTTTCTGGCATTGTTCTTTCGGGTTCCTGTTTCGGCCATGGACAATCTGCAATCAAAACCAAGGCACTTGAAAGATATTTTCTCAAATTGGACATGACACATTTGTTCGGCTCCATCTGGGCCTAATGAGGGTTTCCAATCTCAGTTTCTGCTGGGTATGATGGCCGGAGTTACGAGTCGGCCAAGTGCCAATGAGGCGCCAGTTAAATGGCAATCCTGCAGGGCAGTGTAATTAAAAATACCAAAAAGAACGGAACATCGAGCTATTCAAGCGAAATCATTCTTAAAATCTGCACTTGATTGAACGGAAATCAGGCATTTGTCAGATTGATAGCCGCATCTGCATTTGTAAGTGCATTTCAGTGCAATTTGTGCTGTGATTTTATGACTTTTATTCTCAACGCTGTCCACATAAATTGCGTACTGCTTTTCTTATTTTTTGCTGTTGTTCTTGTTGCTGCCCCGACAGTCATCATATATCAATGTCGTTGCAAAATTGATAATGGACTGCAGCAGCAGCAGCAACAGCAGCAGTAGCAGCAGCAGTGGGTATAAAAATCAAAAGCTGGCCGCTGGGCAAACATTTGATCTGACATTTGTTGTTTTCTTGTCTTTTGTCTTATTTATGTTTATTTACTTAATGCCAAGTTATCGTATTTAAATCAAATATTTGACTAAAATATTATTTCTCATAATAAGAAAAATGTCGACCGCCTTGAGGTCAATCTCTCTGCTGTGTGTGTGTGTGTGTGCGAGTTTTCATTTGTTGATTTCGAATGCAAAATAACCAAGTTATCGCTCGCCGATGCTGCATCCACTGGCTGTCAATCTGCGTTTAAAATGCCTCTATACGGATTTTTGCATTTGCCCACTCTCTGCCCTCTGCTCGGCGCCCCTCCCGCTGGCAACTGCAATCAAAATTGCAAATACAATAATATGAAAAGCACAATGAAATAAATTGAAATACCTCAAGCTATGTAAATGGGCCAGCTACGGCGACTGGGCAGCGGTGTTCAGGACACGCACACGGTGACCCCCAGAGCCACTGCCAAATACATGCTTGTGCCCCCAAACCCACATCCCATATCCATATCCCATATTCCACAGCCAAATCAGACAGGCTAAAAAGAGAAAAGGTTGCCGACCTCCACTTTTGGCTTTTGTTGCTCTCCCGAAGCGGGAGTTTCGGCCCTAACTCAATCAAGCTGTTACTGGAATAGGCAAAATTATTTAGCCTATTTCTATTGTAGAATATTTCAATAGCTACTCCTAAACTTTCACTAAACTGTATGGTCAATTTTAAGCTAATCCTGTGGGTTATAAGTGCTTTTCCAGTTTACCTTTTGGTTGTAAGTTTAAAAAACTGTCTATAAAATCTAAAAAATATTAAAAATTAAGGAAATATATACAAAGAAGTAAGGTTTAACGTAGCTTTTACTCAAACACCTCTCTGAGTCCTTTACCTACCTTTTAATATTCGTCGTCTTCCTGATGGACCAGGGTATTTCCCCTTCGTTATGGACTCCTTGGGCATCCATTTTCCTCTTTTTTTTTGGTGTTGCTGATGGGGGTCTGAATGCTGTTGCTGTTGTTGTTGCTGTTGCTGGTGGGACGTCCTCGTAATCAGCATTTGTGGCGCTCGAGGTCATCCGCAAAGTCTGCAGGCTACGTCGGAGTCGCCGCTGCCGTCTTCGTTGTTGCTGCTGTTGGTGGTGCCGTTGTCGTGTTGCATGTGCCACAGCAGCAACAGAAACAGCAACAACAACAACAGGAACGCGAGTTCCGTATGACGCCGCTTCATCTTCCTGCCTGTGGCCGCGGGCCAAGTTCTGGGTTGGCTGGAATATTATAATTACAAGCGAAACAGGCCCCAGAGCCCTGCTCTCCTCTGTTTCGGCCCAGGCATCCGCATCATCATCATCAGCTTCAGCTTTGGCTTTGGCTTGGGACTCTGCTGGAGCTGTAGCCAGTACACTGAGCCGAAAATGCTGACCTGAGACCGGAAATACAGTTCTTGATAGGATATGTCGTTAGGTGAAATGAAGGAAAGGGATCTAACTTAGGAGAAAAGGTAAACATCTTAATATCTCAACATGTAGTTGGGTGATAATCTAAATGCTGACTTATTGGTTAGTTTAAGTACTTTCTTTAAGAACATTTCTCTCCGTGCTTACCTGTATCTGTGGCTTTAGCAGCCATGGCGACGAGGTGGTTCTATTGCTGGACTGCGAGTGGGAGTGAAAGGGGACGGAGATCCTGATATCCAAATGAAGTCGAAGCAGCGCCAAAGGTGTCCGCGCTGACGTTGTGACAGTTTCAGTTACCGTCTGTCTGGAGGAGCAAGTGAGTGGGAGGAGGAGGAGGAGGAGAAGGGGTGAGTATGTGTTGCAGCAAACGAGTGTAAGCCGGTTGCATGCGGCTATGTCGTACAGCTGTTGCCACTGCCACAGCTCGTTGACTGGCTGAGTGACTGATAGGTCCGAAATGCCGGAGATGAAGAGGTCTAAGCCCGGCTCGAACAACTTCATTTCGAGTGGAGTTCGTGTGAAAATTATTGAGATACATTTCCCCCAGCGATGGACACACGACGTTCGAAAACGAAGAGCATCCCCCCGCAGCTGTTCGCCCCCGTCCGGGGCCCTTCTACCGCTCCTCTAAGCGGCGGACATTGGCGATTATCTTGTCCACGACTGTGAAACAAATGAGCGTCGTAGTCGCACTGAGCCAGAGATGTTGCCCCAGGGGCATTTGCCGCATTGTTGCTTCAAAGAAGATAGGTTTCGGCTCGCATCTGTATCTGTTTCTCTTTCTGTTTCTGAGAGTGTTCCGAGCCAAGGAAAAAGAGTTCCCACATTCCCTGTATGTGAGAATATCGCCCTCAGTTCGATTGGCATCTATTTTGGTGGGGGCCTTCCAGCCAAGTTGGCTTATTTGGGCCCTGGGAGGCTCCAACTAACTATATTAATAGGCCCGCTAATGGTTTGCATGCTTGGGAAATGAAACGGAAATGGGTGTATCTAATTAACTTGTCCAATAAAATAATAATTAATCTAAAGCTTAAGTGGTTGGGAAAAGTTTCAAATCCATTCGTGACTCAATGGTTTCTGTTTTGAGGACTAAGACCAAAGTTTTCAAGAATTTTCTTATCAAAAAGTGAAGTGCGGGAAAATATCAATGTCAAAAAAACAAATTACTTATTTTCCAAGAATAAGAAATGAGTAGAACCCCGACCGGAATTCTTTGTATCGCTTTGGTTTTGCCAAGTATCAAACGTGCTTATTCACGTGCTTTTAAATATTAACCTAACTTAACTTTAGACATCCCTTAGTTTTAATTTGCAGATAAAGTCTGGAAGTATTCATCCTCTTGGGGGTTGCTCTCCAGCTTCCACCTCCAGAAGGGAGTTGGACTGGGCTCTTGTCAGGCCAGTGGGCAGATTTCATATTCGGATAGTGAAAGAGGATGACTGAGAATAAGAAAGAGCCCGCCGGGCAACCGAGAGATACTCCTCAACCCGTTCATTCCCCAGATAGTCTGTGTTGTGTTTACGTTGTAAATGGTTGTTGCAACTACCACCACCACCGCCTCTTCCCATCAGCTGGCCTTTATGCTGATTTCTGGGCCTCGAACAAGTTCGATGTTGGCTGCTGCCGAGAAGTGTCTGTGATTTACGACCGTCTTAAGCCGCTCACAGAAATATTTTCAAATTACACAAATTGTTCCATTGGAGCCAAAGTTGGATACTTTGGGCCTCTGGGGCTAAGGCCACGGATTAGTCGGCCCGGGGCCATGACATTTATCCATGATGTCAGAGCTGTAGAGAGTGTGGAAGGGGTGGTCGGAGGTGGGCAGGCAGGTGGTTAAAGAGCGGCTATCTACTGTTTTTCCACTCTGGCATTCCTTTGTGGAGAATGGAATTTCAATTTGCCGGCGACGGAATGTTTTTGCAACGCGCGCTGGCAATTTAAATTTATGCATGAACATTTTCTAATACCACTTAGAATAACAGAAATAATTTATTATTTTTAACACTTTACAATTTCCGCGCACTCTGCCTGTGTGTGTGTGTGCGGTTTTTGGTTCTATTTTGGCAAAACAACAAAGCTTAATATTTGTTTTTCATTTGTTAGCCCGGCACCAGGTGGGACAGGCGGAACGAGGGGTGTTGCACTGGAAAAGAGGCGTTGGAGCGCGAGTACTATTCAACACTTTGTCGGGGAGTGAAAAACAGCAAAACAGCAAAACAGCAAAAATATCCATTTATAAATATTTTACAATAAATATTGCGCCATGGAAACTGAATAACAGCGCGCCGTTTTGTTATTGAAATGCAAAATGTTTGATTAAAACTTCAATTTGTCCCGCCCATCAAAATATAGGGGCTCTGATTAGCCGCATCACGTAGTAGAAGCACTTCATCGGCACTCCCGAGCTCCGCATCTTGGCCAGATATCGGTTCTGTTCATTCAAACCCACGTTGATGTCGAACCACAGGATGTAGACCAAGTAGCCTAAGGTGATCAGTACAAAGGCTAAGCTGTAAATGTGATTTTTATCTGGAAATTGAAAAGGGTTTAGCCAGTTCGGTTTTCATTAACGATTCTCACCAATCAATTTCAGTACCAAACGTATCTGCTGTGAAGCCCAGACCTTGAGAACCTCCGCCACTTTCACATCTTTCAAAGTTTCCTTTGGCTCCTTACGGTTCTTTCTTGACTTTACGTCCTGTTTCTTCAACGACCTATTCCAACCTTTATTGCGCATTGCTCTTTCGGCGATTGTCATGAAGGCCTTCTTCGGGTTTTCGGTGTATCTAAAATGCTCCTCGGAGGGTCGTGCCATATGAGGTTGAACTTCGGCCTTTTGTATGCTTAAAGTCGGTTTTGTGGCTGCGATCACTGGCTGGGGATTCAGGTCATTGTAGCTCTCGGGAACCATCTGGGTAGAGAAACATGTAGCAAGTATATAGTTTTTATTAAGGATCTTCTAGATATTCCTCACCTTTCTAAACGGATCTTTCTTTAAGGCATCCAGCGAGGGATTTCTCTTCCGACAGTGGCCACACTCCAAATGCCTTAACCGCTTCTTTGTGCTATGCTTTTCAGGATTTTCACATTCCTGTTCCAGCGGAATTTTCTCCTTGTCCTGAGCTTTGATCTCCTGACGAATCCTTCTGTCTAACCATTCGCTCTCAGAGTTCTCCGACTCTTCCTCCTTTAGTTGCATGGTGAGCTGGTAGAGATTCTTGTTGCTAGACTTGACAGTGAGTTCCTTCAGGCTGGGCAGTTCTGGAGCCGCTTTCAAGTGACGATCTTCGATCTCACCGACAGTGTCAGTCCGAATAATTCCATCGGGAGCTACCGTTGTGTGGTTGGCATAGACTGAAGTCAATCTAAAGTTAATAACAGGAATTAACTTAACTTTAGATGCTACTCAGATAGAAGCTACTTACGATTCTGCCACAAACTTCTTGGTTCTGAACAGTTCGATAACGTTTTTATCATCATCCCCGCTGGGAAATAGATTTTCGAACTTGTAAGTTCAACATTTTTGTGATTAACTTGAACTTACTTCTTCGTAGAGATGGATTTGACTCGCGGCATTTCCTTTTCTGATAACTATAAACTATAAATATCAAAAATTAAAAATTTATACAAACTAGATTTGTGTTGGCAGACAGCGAGCCGAAAATGTTTTGACTTTCTATCCATTCGATTCGAGTGTCAAGGGCTGCTGTGCTGTCGATTCCCTGGGGGCACATTTCACACATTTTCGCATTAATATGCAATTAAAGCGGAATAGTTGCAACTAGTTGCAGTTGCACTTGCCAGCTGTGTTAGCTGCGCAGGCGCATGTCCCCGGGCAGTTCTCCACGACCCATCCTGGCGATCGCTGCCGGCGCTCCTTCAGCTTCTATCTCCGGCTGTTTCCGTCCCTCCCCTCGGCCCCTTACTCCCTCGGCCGCTCATCAAAGCGTCTAAGTCCTGCGGCAACATTAACACAGCGAAGCGCAAGGACCTCGCTGCCTCGGCCGGCGTCGCTGCCAGCCGCAGGACAGTTTTTCACGCAGCGACGCTTTTTCGTACAGTCATCGTGCAGCGAAAGCGGTTCTCATCCGCAGCTCCTTCAACTTGGTTCCGCACTTAGTACATAAGCCGCTGTACATAAACAGATGGACACTGGGAGAAAGATTGGGGGCTAACTCGTAATTAACTGATTAACCAAAGTAATCTATAACTTGGCATAAGTTGACCTTTTTGTAAATGAAATAAAAGAACTAGTTTGGTGGTTGGCTTTGACTACGTCTCTTCTACAACCCTAGCACTCCCAAAGTGAAAGAGCTGAACCGTTTTCGCTTTCCTCTTAAAAGTTAGTTTTCTTCCAGTGTAGCCCTGGCCGGCGGCGCTTTGGTATGGCGCAACTAAAATGCAGTTGTTGTTGCTTTTTTCGCTTTTCCCCGTATTTGTCTTCAGTTGCTGCTGCTGCTGCTGTCGTTGTTGTTGTTGCTGGCGCTGCTTTGGAATTGTTGGCGGTTCTTTGCCATCGCCAGCGGTTATTTGAGGCAAGAAGTTGGCCCAAGGGGTCCGGCGGACAGGCAAGGCAGCTGACAGGACGTTCGGACGGCGACGACTTGACTCCGGCTTTGACTTGAAGAGTTGTCTGGCATTCCCTTGCCGGCTTTAATTGCGTTTGAACTTGGCGAAAAATATATATATAAATATAAATAGCTATAAAATAAGTAACCTGCAAGTCAAAAACCGAAATTGAATTGTTATTCATTCAATTAGAAGGGGCTGGGGGCTGACTGGGGTGGCAGATTATTTAGATGCCTAGAAACGCACTTTGATTTTGATTTTGTTGTATGCAACTGTCAGTTGCACGCCTTTCCAACCGAATGCATTTGCACAGAGCCACTCAAAGGGGGCTGGTGTCTATGGGCGAGGGGCGGAAAGGCTTCGTTTGTTGCGCTTATTCATTCGAATGTTAATTAAATTGTATTTAAACTGCATCGACTTTTGACATATGCCTCGGCTCGGCTGCCTGCTCATTGAAGCGCCTAATTTGATCAGAGAAAAAGTCTCGCTTATGAAATGTATAGCCTTTGACTGTTGAAAACCATCCTGAATATGAAAATTAAATGCATATAGTATTTAAGCATTTGCCAGGGAACTCCGGGAACATCAGTTGGAAAACTTAAGAGCCCCAAGGATCAGAAATAGTTAACATGACTATCGAGAGAAGGCTTCTACTTATCTAGCAAATCATAACAGTCGACAAAAAATAGCAGACAGGAAACGTCATCAGCAATGCGGCATGGGTTCCGTTAGAATTGTATGAATGCTCATCCTGCCGCACGGGAAATTAAAAGGAGGCTGCCTATGCGGCGTATGTGTAATATTGGGGCACAGGCACACACTCGGAGACAATGCTCCTCCGAATGGCAGAGGCAGATAAGCGACGGCTCTCCGTCGCCATAATCATAATAATAACAATGCCCGGCTCGGAGTTTCGGAGTCATTAAGCGGCGTTTTATGGCCATTGTGTGGGGCAGAACTCCTCCGATGTGGGAGCCATCGTGCCTGTCCAGTTCCGGCCAATTGCTATGCATATTTGGCTATTAAGTGCTGCTCGGAGAGTGCGGGCGAAAGAGTTATCTTCAAGCCACTAAATTGCAGCCGATAAACGCGGCCAAAGCAGCCGGAATAATGGCAAACTTTTGGCTACCATTTTGGCCATCGTATCAGCTGAAAGAAATTTTAATTAAATGTCGCCGCAAACGATGCGGTAATATGCAACGAGTCGCACCGAGTCGAGAACCCAAACCAAAACCAAAACCAAAACCAAACCCAAGCCCATCCGTGTCGCAGGTATGGGGGCATTATTTTAGCGTTCAATATGATTGCAGCCTGGCGGGGCATGCCATTTGGCTCAATTTATCACAATGCCAGAGCCGGCCAAGCCAGTCCGCTTGACCCAGAGACCAGAGACTGGAAATCAGGAATCGGGAATCAGAAATGAGCCCCTCATGCCGCTCATGTCAAGCGCCTCGAATGCACTTAATACCGTTTTCTGACTGCCGTGAATTGCATTTCACGTGTCAGCGTTTTTAAGCGCTTTTCGCCGGCGGCTTTCTGGGTATTTGGATTTGGGATCTCCCCAAGTGGAGTTCCTCCATTGACGGCTAATTTATAGAGTGAGAGCGGCGGCCCCTTAACGCGGGCTGAGCTATTTAATAAGCAAACAATGCGGGAGCAATGCGAAAAGAAATGGAAAATCCTTTGGCCCTTGAAGTGCCCTGGGTTATGCGATGGGTTGGATGTGGATTGTGCTTAGGTGGGGTTGGAGGTCACAATCACAGTCGTAGCCTTGCAACAAGGGGAGCTCTGAAGATCTACAGTGAGCATTCGCTAAGGTTTATTTCATTTTCTTGTTACATTCACAATCCAGTTCATGTACGCCATGACATCTGTATAGAAACTAGGGCCGTCGCAGGTCAAAGTCCCATAGCTGACAATGCCAAACTGGAAAATCCGAACAGTGTTACCATAAGTTAGCTTTGCACTCAAGGGACCTCCGGAGTCTCCAATGCAAGGGTCACTGTCCCAGCTCCCGGCACATATCTGGGTGTTATCATTTGGCGATTCAAATATTTCTCGGCACTTCTGGACATCCAGACGATCTACAGTGGCTGACTGTAGTATACTGCTGTTTGGATTGTTATTAGTTTTACCCCAGCCGGTGACCTTGAATACTGAAATTTGTTGCTCTAGTTGCTGATTCACCAGCAGGCAGATGGGCCTTATGTAATCTAGAGAAGAAAGTTTTAGCTTAGGGAAGTCTAAGACCAGATTACTCACCTGAAAATGCCACCACTCTTGCCATTCGAATCAGAGCTATATCGTTCTGGAAGTATTTCGGTTTGTAATTTGGATGGATGAACTTTTCTGCGATATCGATTTCGTAGGTCGTGCCCTCTGAACTGCTCCCTCTGTCGTACTCACCCAAGCGTACCTTTCTGCAAAAATAAACTTTTATTTTTAAAGATATTAAATAGATTTTAGGCACTCACTTAAACGGGATGGCAAGGCAATGGGCTGCTGTCATTACATAACCTGTAAGATGTTTTATTAATTCATCGATTTGAATTATTCCAAAATTAAGATACGAACGTGAGTTTATCAGCGATCCACCCGCAATCGACTCGCCGACCAAGAGAACCATCCATGGGTTTGATAATATACCAGCATCTTCTCCCCCAACCATCCGCTTATCCCTCAGATGAGGCTTTGTTGTTCCACAATTATCATCCAGCAAGGCGCCGGATACTTCGAAAGATCCCCGGAAGAGGAGCAGCAGAGCTATGACCACGAAGGCGTTCATGTTACTGAGCAGACTGAAGAAATTTGTGTGGATTTTTGATTGAGTGTATGAGAATATCACTTTCGGGAAATAAATTGCTTTTTAATTGAATGAATTTGCTAAGGTCAGGGGCGGACCTCTACTGGGTCTTTTTGTTTATGAGACAGAAATTTAGTTACGTGCTGATAATCGGACTTTGAGTCCGCTCCTGATTTAGCTACACACCCAAAAGTTTAAGAGTGCTCTCGGAAAATAGATATTGTTCTGAAAGTTAGCAATTTGAGTCCGCTGTATTGATAATTGATAAGTAACCGCTCATAGTTTAGGTTTGTTTAACTGCTGCCCAGAGATAAGAATATGTATGACCTTAACCTTACTTAGGCTTATCTGTCTCTTTGAGTTCTATCATTTAAGCAAGATCTAAGATCTATTTTTATTAAAATATTATATTGGATTACAACTTAGCCCTAATTCTGATCTATATAATCTGTCAAATTGATATTGATTTGCCTCTGCTAGCATGTTAACTAAAACGCTCGAAGTTCCTTCACCTGACAGATATTACTGTACCTTTTACACGTTGAGTTCAAAAATTCATCATTGTTGGCTGCTGCTGCATTGTTGCCAAAACCCGCTGCTGCTGCTGCTGCTGCCCGCCCCCGCTGTCCCCGTTAGCATCCTCCTTTGCCTAACCCCTCGTTGCTCCTGCAGCCCAGCTCCCCCACTTACCGCAAACCGAAACTGACTGATGCCTGGGAGCTACTTTTGGGATGAAATATTATAATTACAAGGGAATGTCCTGCGGCCAAGGAGGAGCTGGAGCAGCGGCGGGGTTGCGGGGGGTTAGAGGAGCTCCGGTTTCCAAAGGGGGTGGACGGGATGGAGCGACATCAGCCAAGCATCAGGCAGCCCAAATCGCAACTCTCGCTCGCTCGCTCTCTCTCTCTCTCTTTCGTACTCTCGTTCTCTGTTGCTGTTTCTGTCTCTGTCTGTAGTTCGGTGTTTGTGCCCTTGGGGCCTTCGGAATCCCAACCCCAACCCACACCAGGGCAGGCTTCTCTTCCTCTTCTTCAGTCGCAACATGTTCGGACGTTGTGTTTATATGGTCGCCTGCCGGCAAAAGCGGGCGCTGATAATTTAGATGCCTGGCTGTGATAAGCCTTGAAAACTGGTTTCAATGTTTCCAACATGTTCGATGCGGCAACAGTTAGGAGTGGGTGGTTAGATAGCTGATTACACTTAGAGGGGAGGGATGTTGGGCAGGCTCACCCGTTATTAATTGCAACTCAATGGCTTGAAGGTATTTATTAAGTTTTTGTTTCATTTCTAAAACTGGCATTTGCATGTGTACATTTGTCTCATCTCATTTTCACATTTTCTCATTTTCACTTATTTCATTTCACATATTAATTTAGGGCGCGTCATACACACACTTATGTATTTAAATACACAGATGTATATACCTGCATGGCCTGTCAGTTTTATTGAAAATTAGCCTGCAGTTAATTTAGCATGCCATTAAGTTTCCACATAACCCCTTGTCGTTCTGGGCCCAAAAGTAATGCATGCAGATTATAACTTAAATATGAAATGTCACGCATTGACAGGCATTTTTGAAAAGTGTGCAGCAGCAACAGCAAGTTTTACACCTTGGGGCCAATCCGTTTATGGACCGGGCCGGAGCTGGGGTCTCCGAGCTGGAGAGATGGATATGGATACGGACTCTCGGATCAGCATCTCACGCCATGGGTAGCCACAAAAGGCAGGCCACAGCAGAAACAGGAATTTATGAGGCCTTTTGTATATGCTTCGAGGCGAAAGTGTTCGAGGGGGGATTGAAATTGGGCTGGAGATGGGGATTGGCTCGCAATTGGGAATGGGAATGGGAATGGGAATGGTTGTTGTCTCTTAACCGAACCCCAGAGATGACAAGGGTCGCCAGTGGCAAGTGGGCCAGAAATGAAAGGGGGGTACTGCATTAGTTTTGTTTCACCAACCAGAGGTCTACATAGTTATTAAGTTTATCAGTGTGAAAACAGTAGAGCTATGGAAGAGTATAGTTTAGGATAGATGTAATGCGGCTTAAAGCTTAAATTTAACTTTAAACAAGGTATTATAATATCCTCTTTTTCAAAGTATATCATTCTTTGTTCATGGAGCTACAAACTTAACTCATATTCAACATATTTCTTTTCAGTATTTCGTTGGCAGAGTTGGTATAATGTTCAAGATAATACGCGTAGTGCTTAATCTCTAACTAAAGTTTAGGTAACTAATCAATTTCTTCCATTAGAATACAGCTAAGTCTGAGCCTTTAACCATTTCCCCTTCACTTAGAGAGTGAGCAAAGCAATTACAAACTATTTGCCACTCTTCGGTGGCTCCACCATTTGCTGCACAAGTGATTCAGTTCCGAGGACTGGTCACAGCTTCCGTTTAATTGTGGGGCTTCCACGCATTTCGCACGCTTTTTTCACCTGCCAGCTGCTCTCTCACCTGGCCCTCCCCCTTTGCCTAAATGCTCGATTGCAGTTTGTGTCTGTGTGGGTGTGGGTGTTGGTGTGGGGTTGAGAGTGGTAGTGGCTGTGGGAGAGAGGCAGGCAGAGTGGGTGGTTGAGGTGTAACAGATGTCTGTAAATTGCTTTACTGACTGACTGACTCGCCAGTTGGCTGTTGGCGGTCGCTTAACTGCTGATGTTGCTGTTGCTCCTGTTTGGTTTGTTGTCAGTCAAAGTGTCAGTATGTATATGCCTCGCTTACAGGTGTGAGTGCAGGTGTGACTGTGTTGGTGGATGGGTGAGTGGGTGGCAAGCGAGCATTACACTTATAACTGCATTAATACAAGCTTATGCTTCACGGAATCGGGCAACCCACTAGTTGTTGTTGCTGCTGCTGCTGCTGTGGCTGTTGTTGTTGGCCCAACATTGCACATACAGCCGTGCGACGGCATTGCTTACAGGTGTGCGGCATTCGCAGCTTGTCAGTGGCCGCGTTTAACGCTACACTTAAACAAACAGCCGCGTGCGTACACAAACATCACACACACACACACCCAGGCACAAGCAAAAACACACACACAGCAGGCCGCGGAAGGAGCAACAACAAGTACAACAACAGGAACAGGATGGCCAGGATGTGGCCGCCTATTAAGTGATTTTAACACTTTGCGCATGAAAATTGCAAAAAGGCAACGGCACGGCGTTGATAATTATCCCTTAATTGCTTAATGAGCGGCACTTGAGCAGCGCCGTCGACAGAAGCGACGTAAGTTTAATTAATGCCAATTTAATTACCACACCATACACACACACACACACATACACACATGTGTGTGGAACTACTGACTACCGGGTGGCACTTAAATTTTCCACACTTGCCGCAAAGGCAAAGGATTTCCACACAGACAAACATTCTGTAAGTGAATTAAACGGCTTGGCCCAGGCGTAAATAGCAGTTAACTGAAGTTAACTTTGGCTTAATTATTAATCAGGTAAGTTTTATGGGTAGGAGTTTTGATAATTACCTAAATCAAGAATTAATACATATATATTTCTGATTAAGAGCATGAAATTGTTGTCATTTATTGGGTATGTAAGCCTCTGTTTCTTAATCTCGAAACAAGTTCTTACATTTTAATCAGCTTAATGATGAGTTCATTTACATATATATTTATTGTGAAGTCATTTAATTATTTACTTAACAGAAGCTGCCTTTGTTATTTATCTTTTATGAGTTTGAAATTCGAATATTCATTTTATAAATAATATACCAGGAAATTTTATTGATAAAGTTTAAACATTGTAATACTCAACTTTAGGAGCTTAAACTTTCTCAATTTCTTTGGGGCTAGCACTTCCTCCGCTAGTAAATAGTTTTTGAAAGCCAACAAAAATTGAAATACAATAAAAAATCAGCATAAAGCCCCGCTAATTGCTTCCCACATTGCTTGTTTGCCTAACTGAGCAGTGGTTTACAGTTTCGACCATGGCAATAGACGTCATGTTTCTGGCTTGGTTGTCGGCCGAATGTCTCTATTAGGCAGGGCCATAAGTTATTTGGTTGTTTGGCTTGATTAATGTTCACCTGGCCGTGTTCCGAGGAAAACTTAAACGCTCGAGCGGACTGGGAGGGGGGTTGGATGGGGGATCCGACCATTCCAACCACTCGGACCTCGCTTTGTGGATTGTCAGTGGCAGCTTCGTTTACGCTTTACCCTTTTCCATTGCCGGATGGCCGGCGGCGGTCTCTTCTTCCAGTGATCTAATCTTGTTATTGCCCTGGCCTCCGTCTCCGACTCCATCGTCATCTCCATCTCTATACCCAACTCCATCTCCGGTTCCATCATGCCCGGCATACCCATAAAGATATACACATAGCACCAGCACCAGTCCCAGTACAAGAGTGATTTAGCTGATGTGCCAATTCAATTATTTCTACCTACATAGGATTTTTCCACATGGCACCGGCAAAACATATAAACATATAAACACCGATAAATGCCATACATACAAGCCATGTGGCATATAAAATAGTGAATGTAATTTTATTCACATGTCTTGCCCCAGGCCAATCCGCTTGGCCCGCCGGCACCAAATTGCACAGCAACAACAGCAGCATCAGCAACCCCGGAACAACGGCGCACCTCTCCGTATCTCGGGTATCGTATCGGTCTTTCTTCGGTATGTATATATATATATATGCCACATTATATGCAGGGGACAAGGGGGCAAGGCGGGGGGCAGGGGAGCGGACCGGAGAGCTGAAATCCATCATTGGCGCATGGCCTCGGGTCACATTTGGGTTGAAATATTATAATTACAAGCGAACGCCCGCGGGCAAGGCAAGGAGGAAGGTGAACCGAAGCTGGACTGGAGCCGGAGCCGTAGCTGTGGCGTCGAACATTGGCATCGCATCGCGAGCTTAGCCTGGCTAACAACCACACGGTGAAAAATCGGCTAGGAATTTGGTCTTTTCGGCTTATAAAGTGTCGTATGGAAAGAAGCTACAAGGGGTAAAGCAGAGCTGTGACGTTAGTACCTCTTTATTATCCCAAAGTCCAAATAAACTTCTTTAAAGTAAGAACAATATTGTGTATAAAATGTTTGAATCTAAATCAAATCTAGAAAAACTCTGATGAAATGAGATAATATTTTCTTTCAGTGCAAGGGAGGGTTAGAGGGGATGTCGGTCGGACGGGCGATCGAAGTCGCCGCCTGCTGCTGCTGCTGCGGATATGGATACTTAGTTGTGGTGGTTGTGTTTACGTTGCGGCTGATAACATCCCGTGTTGCTGCTGCGCCAGATGTTGCTGCTGCCGCCATGCCTGGGGCAAGGCAACATGTTGCACGCAACACGCTCGACGCCACTCGGCTTAGACCCCAACAGACCCCAAAACAGTCTTTTCTCAACGGTGGTTCAGTGTGTTTGTGCCGATGGTGTTTGCTTTGTTTGCCTTTGACAACGGTGGCAGGTGAATAACAGTACCAGTTGGCTATTGCCATGGCTATTGCTGCCGCCACTTTTTTGCGTTTGTTTGCCTTGGTAACTTGTTGCACGGCACGTGTTTGGACAACTGGCAATTGGCCGAGTGGCAAGTTGTCCACATTAGTGGACTGGGCGGGGCAGCTGCAAAGCCATACAAAGGATAACAAAGTAGTGGCTATATAATTTAAGAACAACACTGGAGTGCCGGCTGCCTGTAATTATTGGCCAAGCTGGTTCAAAACTGGCCAACTGGAATCACAGTTTTTGTCGCCCAAATATACAGCCAGAACGATGGCAGCAGGTGACAACCAGTCCGAAGAACGGGGCCTGGGCCTATGGTACCCTCATTATATGCAAAGTGTACAGGGCCGCCAGCCACTCAAACTTAACTTATTTTTAACTTGCACATTTTTCCTCAGTCTCCGGCACTGCCTCCGCATGGCTGCGGGCCATCTTAGTTGCATGTTCGAGCAATCCTTTCCGTTCCGTTCGCTCGTTCCACCCCAAAAAGCTGGAAATAAAGAACTGGTCCTCTCTCCCATCCATAACTCGCGGCTATATCTTCTTTTGCGTTATATTTCCCTCATTCTGCTTGTCTTTGGATATCAACTGTCAGTTTTCGAGCTAAAAACCCCAGCGGGCTAGTTTGTAAATCATTAAAATTATGCACACACACACACACTCACTCACTCATACATACATACCTCACATCCGCACACACTTATTATGTAGAGAAGTTGGCCAAACTGCATAGGAATCATTATGCAGTTAATGACAAATGTCACGCATTGCTAATGACAAAAGGATGTCGGCAATCGACTCCTGAGCCCCCTCCCTTCAGCACCTCCCCCTCAGTCAAAAGTGGCCACAATTAAAAGGCAAATATCAAATGGCTGCCACTCTCGTAAGCGAGAGTCCAGCTTTCACTGAGCTTGGGAACTAGTGTGTGTGGAAGTCGAATCAACTTTTAGGTATTCAGCATGAGCTTTGCATATCATATAAAAATATAAGATAGACGGAAAACTTCATTAGATTTCTTAAAATCGAAACTTATCAGAATATTTCTTTCAGTTTTTGTGAGTTTTAAGTCTAATCTTGTTGTTCTATATAGGTATATATTTCTTATTTCATAAAGCAAAGACACATTCTCAGTATCTTTCAATAATAATAATAAGGTAAACACCTTGAAGTTTATAGTTTCCCCTAACCCAATAGAAAGTTAAAGTAAAAGCCGAAAGGACCTCCGCAACGAAAGCTCTTTAAAAATCGCTATCCAAACACTTCATTATGGGACGCATTGGCTGTAAAATGATTACCATTCAAATGTTAATGTAAATGTTGTGCCACATATGGATGAATGGGTAGATGGATGGATGGATGAATGCCTGAATTGATGGTTGATATGTGGTCGCGTTTGCTGCCACTGCCACTGCCGCTGCAGTTCGGTCGTGCGTTAAAAATTTAACGCGAATTTCAGGCTGCGGCGGCAAAAATGGCATCATTAAGTAAAAGCCCCGCGGCCAGACATTGTGAATTTTATGAGCCTTTTCATATATACATATATATATATATATATACGAGCATGTTTTTGTTGTTTGCTCGCTGGGTATCGTTAATAATAAAAATATATATATACCACCTATCCACATATACTTTAAAGCCACACACACTCGGGCAGCCTTGTGATGAGCCGAGCACACATAAATAATAGTAATAATAAAAAATCACAATAATGATGATGCCTGATGGTGTCGACGGTCGACGGTCGGGGAGCAACAAAAAATCAGCGGAAATTCTCAGCATATGCGATGGCATTTAAATGTTTGTGTTTTCCCATTCAGCATTCAGCATGATATTGATTGACAAGCAAATGCACAAGCCTTGAATAAATATCCAGGCAGCGAGTGGGCGGTATGGCCAGTCGGACTGGCTGGGGGGCGTGACGCGAGGGCTACTTTAAAAAGCCATCAACAAATAATTACAAGCCAGCGAAGGGAAGTGTATAAATGTCGACGCTGACTTCTGAGCCTCAGACGAGGCAGCCATTCGTTATATATGGGATATATATATATATGTATAAGAGTCCTGCAGCGGGACCACTCCTCCCTCAACCCACTCCACTCGCCCCAAAGCGATCCAAACAATAAAGCATAAAGCGCGCCGCACACATTTTGTCGAATTATTTTGTTGGCAGTCCGCTGGCGGCAAACTGCAGCAAATTGGCTTGAAATATTGGTATTGCCATATGTATGAGTTCGTATGTGAGTGACTGAATACATGCGACTGTGTGTGCGTGTGTGTGTGTGTGTGTTGGTGTGTGTCTGTGTGCGTGAGCTTGTGATTAAAAAAATATTTAAAACGGCAAAAACGCAAAGCGACGTCAAAATAAAGGAGTCCGCTCTGCCATTTCTCCCGCACGAAAACAATAAAAGCGACCCACTGCCTGCCACCCCTTCCAGCTGAGTGAGTGAAATGAGCGATAAAATTGCAACAATTTCCACTCGTCGTAGGCAGTGGATCCGATAAAAGATGAAAAATTGAAATGCCAGTGGTCGCAGGCAGCAATTATAGTTTGACATGTTTTATGGATCAAAGTGGTATATGGATTATATTCAAATTGGAATCTTAATATAGTTATTAAGCACATAAACTAAACATCTTAAATTGGTTATAATCTTTAAATGATATATATATATATATTTATAGAGACTAATATTTCTGTGTACCACTCACGATTCCATCTCTAAGAGAGATCGCAATTTCTGCAGCGGGAAAATATAGCGAAATATTATTGTGGCGCATATACTTCAAAATGAATATGGCCGCGGGGCAAATAAGCGAGCATTCCGAAACAATTGCCAATGAAAAATGATGCGACACAACTCTCGGCATTTGCGAGGGGTTGGTGGGTTTTGCCAGCCACCCAGCCACCCAGCACCACCTCTTGGGGGTGTTCTTGCCAGCGAGTGGGTGGAAAGTTCGCACTCATTTTAATTACAGCTGCCTAACTGCAGGCCTCACTGTACTTCCCATTCCAGCTCGTGTTTTGAAACACTGCCCGGGGCGTATTTATCACAAGTTTTTCTTTGCATTGCCGCGGGGCAACAAAATATTTCAGCTGCCTCCGTCGCTCAGTCGCTCCTCGGCTGGCCCGCGGGCATCCAGTTCTGGCCCGGCTCAGCTCAGAGCCTCATTCCCATTCCTATTGCCCCGTTCCGTTCCGTTCTTCGTACCGCCGATGCCGGCGGTTCTGGTTCTGCTTCTTCAAAGTCTCTGGAGCTGATGCCGCACAAAGTTTCATTTCGTTTGGCCCCAAGGCCCAGCGTTCTATGCTTTGTCATTAACACAAACACGCATACTCTCGCACTCGCTCACGCACACAGCGGCATTTGGCACTGCCGGGTGTCAGCTGTACATGCACCCACACACATACACACACATGGCCAAAGGCAACAAAAACAAACAGGCTTTGATATTTACAATTATAGAAAATCGGGCATATAGAGATGTCCCCCATGATTAATGCAACTTATGGGTTAAAATTTTGTATACACTCAGCAAAATTAGAGTTCCTTAAAATGTTAATTTAGTTTGGATGTTGAATGTTATTAGAAAATGAGAGTTTGAATAAGGCAATAGGAAACTGTTGATAAAGTGTCAAAGTTATGAGATAAAATATTCAATATGCCTTGTTGATAAAAAGGTAATTTATTTTCAAATGCTAAACCCTTTAAAAACTGGAAAACCGTAGCTTGAATAATGCCTCAATTCAATCAGAATTCGACTAGTATTTATTATTATCCGTAAAGATGCCTCCAAGTTAAAGGCAAGGTTGTTTTAGTCCTGCAACTCTAATTAAATGCTTCGATTTATAAGGCAAGCGAAAGCACTTCACCTAGGCCAATTGTTCTATTTACAGTTACAATGTTAATTGCGGCAGCTTAGTTGCACACAGCACAACGAAACAAGAACAACGACGGCAAGAGCGGGCCACTTAAACCGGAAATAGACTATTAAACGTTCACATACGCACACATAGACATCATATGGTGCGAAAGCCAAGCAGCTAAACAACAAACGGCGCTCTCTCTTTCTCTTCGCTGCTGCCTCTTCTACTGCTGCTGCTGCTGGTGCTGCTCTCTCTCAAGGTCGTCGGCTCAACTCAACACAGAAGACGCCAGCAACGAACTCTACTCCACTCCACACCAGCGCAATCCATTCCATTCCACCCGCAACTAGACGCAACTCGAGCCGCAACACGCAACCAGCAACTGCAACGGCGACGCAACACGGAACCATCAGCCATTAGCCATCCATCAGCAAGGCGAGCAGATTCAGTTTTCGGCCAACTTTCGACGCGAATGCAAGTGAGGTAAATTGCGAGCGCTCAAAAGTAGGCAACGCTTAAGCCAAACGGTTAACGGTGAACTGAGAACGGTATTCGTCAAGCGGAAACGGAAGTAAACACTTCGTTGGCGCGCGCACTCTGTAGAATTTAAACTTGAATACGCTTTGAATAGAATAGCAAGCGATCTGCAGATCGAAGCAGGCCAAGGATATATCGAAGAGAACTGAAGATATCACAAAAATCAACGACGATTATTTATCTACGCGCGCGTTGTAATAAAAAAGAGTTAAAGTGCATTTCCTAAATATACCAACCTTTTTGTGAGTTCTTTGAAGAGGCTTTGGAGTTGCAAAGTACTCCTTTCATGTGTATAAGTTTCTTACTTATTTTATTTGCTTAATCCAAGATCTGAGTCATTTCGAATGAATGCATTTTCTAAATCTTTCACTACTAAAAATTATCAAAACCAAAAGAATCTTAAATAATAATTAGTAATTATTTGTTACTCTTTTGTTATTTATTAAAGTTTCTTACACTTTGAGGATTTACTCACTTTTGAGCTTGATTCCAGATATTTTCATATATAAACAACTTTATTACATTTCACAAACTCGAATTCAACAGACTTAATGACTAGAAGAAGATCAACATTTAAAACAAAATTTGTAAACATTCAACTAACACCTTCTTCCTGTGCTCTTTTCGCCCGAAATACAGAACTCCGTTTGTTGCATTGGATCAACGATCGCCGTTGACGGTGGATTCCTCCTGCCCCAAACGGTAAGTAAAACCCAAAAAAACCCAAAACTTTTCATTTGAGAAATGCCCCGAAAATCCCAGCCAGCCTTCGAGCTGGCCAATAAATTAGTTTAAAAAAAGATTCTGTAATAAACGAATTTTTGACACACAACAGCATCGACAGTCCAAGTTGCAGGCCACCCGATCTCTCTCCCTTTTGGTTTTGGCCAAAAGCGCCGCCGGCCACTGATTTTCGTCTCTCCCACATGCCAAGTCAGAAATTGTGCGCCATAAACGAAGACTGTTTAAAAAAAAAAAAAATTATGCGCCTCAAGTGCTCTGTACCCGCACCAAAGGAGAAATAAACAAAAGTAAGAAGAGTAACCCAGGGAAAGGGGGCGGCGAAGGAAGCGGGCACCGGCGACGGGTAGAAAAAATCATACGAAATTCGCCCGCGGCTCTTTTGGGCAACCTTAGCCCCCGGCTGAGTTATGTGTGCAGACGAGAACGAGTCGCATTATTTTTTCTACCTTAAAGGCTATAAAATACGATGGTGCTGGGCATGGCGGGGGTCGGGGCCGGGCTCGGGCTCGGGGGTCGAGGGTCGAGGCGAAGCGGAGGAGGGGGCATGACCGGTTGTATTGTGGCTGGTCGAAAACTAAGCGGCCAAAAGATGACCCCCGGGCCAAATACATACAGCACACTCGTACAACAAATTTTTGTTTAGCCAGCGAATCGACGGTCCGTGAGAGTTGTCCGTCTGTCCGCTTGTCCCTCTGTCCATCTGTCCGCCAGCTTGTCCGCTTGTCCGTTGAGTCGGAGCCAAGTCATGAGGCAAAGTTCAAAGCGAGAGCTGCAGTATGCGAATTTGTATTCAAATAGTGAAATCACTTGCAGCAAAGTAAGGATAGTTCTTGGAATCGAAGGAGATGTTATTAGCTTTTTACAGATTTACAAAATGGCAAAATATATAAAAAATCGATTAAAAACTATCCATGTTAATTCTGACATCTAGTTACATATACTTTAAACTTAACAACTTACTTTTTAAGTTAAGTCCTCCTTAGGCCAACTGATTTACCATTCCATTTTTCCCTGTGCATCCGAGGGGAGGAGCAAGGCGTTGACGACCTTCGCCTGTTGCCCTCTCACTCTATACAGCCTTCTCTTTCATGTGGAAGCAACTGGTTTTGGTCTTATCTCTGCTGTTTCTCCCTGGTTTTGTTTTTCTTTTTTGTTTTTGCATGCCAGACACAAGAATTTCCTCATAGGAGGCGGAGTCGAAGTCAAAGTCTTGTTTGTTTGCCTGTTTGTTTGGCTGGAGTCGCAGTTCGCGATTCTTTCCCCGCATTGTCACAGGCCCCTCTCACTCCTCGCTCCCAGCTAATTTGTTTTCATTCAGAGGATTTAGGCTCCAGCTACTTGGATTCGCATTTACATTAACGGCCCGTACCTGCCGCTGCTGCTGCTGCTGCTGCTGGATTGGGGAACCAGCGGCAAAGTGATTTCCATTACGTGCCAATAGTCAAAGCCTCCGCTTGCTGCATTTGAATGGCTGAGGCTGTGCCACAAAAGCTCTTAACGCGCTGTGTGTTAATTAAGCTGCAATTCGGCATCATTACCAGCATCAACATTGCGCTGCCAATTTGCCACCAACCGAGTGGCTCTGCAGTTGCCAATTTCCGCAAGGGGTACGACTCTCGGCTATCGCGTAGATATGAGCAGCAATATAAGAAAACCTGTTATCCAGTTATCTGGACTTGAGGATTAGTAAAGTTTCAGAAAATATAGAAGAAATGTTGACTGATTTATTTTATGAAACAACCATCGAAGATATAATTTATAAGCAAACTTCTAGTTCAGAAACGCCAAGAACGTAAAGTTCCTTCTTTTCATCTATTACCTTTTCACATACACCCATTCAAAGTCCCATGCCTAAAACCCCTTGCTAAGCATTCGTGGATACCCGGGATTACCCATTCCAGAAACCCGATCCTTTGGCCAACTGCACCTGGCGCCACTGCTGTTGTGGTTGTTGCCGTTGCAAGTGCATTTTACTTCAGTTGCCTTTGTGTTGCATCTGCTGTTGATGCTGTTTTTGGCTGCGATATGCACACGCAAATTGCACCAATTAGGCAGGCTGGCTGCATTGTCTGCCGCTGCCAGTTGCAGTTGCACTTGCAGGAATTCATCTGAATGGGCTTTGCCATGATGGTGGGCTTCCGTTTCCCCTTCGAATTCCGAATCGTGTTCCATTGTTTGAGGGCTATTCGAGTGGAAACATGCCTGTTAATTATTATGTACACTTGATTAAGTAGCACTGGCAATCAAACTCCCCAGCGAAGAGCTATCAGCGTGCTCACATCGAGCCAACAACAACGAACAACGCTGCGTATGCGCAATGTTTTCTTTTACGGCAATATTCCGACGCTTTGGCTGCTTATCCTTTGCGCTTTTGACTTGCAATTCAATTTTCAAATTTAGCAGAATAAAAACATCCTATCTCGAGGTTGAGACACACACTCTTGCACACACACTCACACACACGTGTGGATTTATCCTGAATATATTTATATTTTGCTTGTCGTCGTCGTCGTCGTTGCTGTTGTTTCAGTTTTTCCATGCTGAGGTCGTAGGTCGGCGAGTTGTGAGTTGGCTGAGTAATGTTTGCTCTGCATACGTAGCTCCAAACCAACTCCACCTCCGCCTCCACCTCGGCATCCTCTTTGGCAAAAAGCACCCCCTCCACAACCCTTCGCCCGGCTTTTTGCTGAGTGAGCCATATGCAGCGCAATCGTCGTTTTTATTTAATATTTTCTAATAAATTTTTCAAAGTTTATTTTTGAAAGCCTTGCAGCGTTTTAATATCTGCTGCTTCAGTATATGCCGGGACTCCAGTTACTCGCTCACTCACTCAACTTCTGCCAGACTTCCCTGCCCACACACTCACACTCTCATACCACGCCATCCGTCTCTCTCCCTTTCTCTCTCTCTCTATATATATATATATTCACATATATATCGCATATATTTGTACAATTTGCCATGGCGCACACATTCTGCAACTTTGGCTAACAATTTTCGTAGCATCACACTGGGAATGGAGCGGGGTAGGGGGAGCCTGGTCTGATTTCCCATATGCCGCAGCTCCAGCTCCGCCGTTTGGATTTGGACCCTTTGGCTAAAGACGACGTCGACGCAGAAGTTGTGCTCGGGCAATGCAGCCCGAGATCCGAGATCTGGGAGGGAATGGCACGGAGCGGGAGGAGTCAGCCCCATATGGCCGGAGTTGGGGGCCTCCTGGCTTTGGCCTTTTGTGTTTTACTTGGGACCTCCGACTGCCCGGCAAAAGTTTTTCATTTGCCTGCTCATCAGCGTTTTGATTTTGGTTTTGGCCAACTGCGAAACGAAAACAAGCCAGCCTGCTTGCTCCTCCTCGTCGACCTTCTAGAGAATGGCTCGGGGCTTTTGGATTCTTCTCAAGTTGTCCCCAGGACATTTTGCAGATTTTTCCTCTCTTTCCTTGTGTGCATGTGTGTGTGTCTATATGTATGTGTATGTATATGTGTGTGTTTACTTTATGTTTGTCTTGGCTAGATACACAAGCGTTCCGTTACGTTCCGTTTGGCATTCCCTTATCTGCAGCTCCCGGGAGCCGTAAGTTTGCTTTCTTTTTCCAACCCCGAATATAAGTCCTGCCTAATTGGAATCCTCCACCCTCGCCCGCCCGTCAAACATAATCTGCCGCCTCCGCCGCCTCTTGCTGCAAGTGTTGCAGTTTGATAAATCTTCGGGTTTCCAATGTTTTCGTATTAACTTTCGAGGTGGATTCAGTGCAGCCGACGTCGCTTTCGCCGCGGGCGTTTTAAAATTGAGATAAGATTTTGCCTCGAAAACTTTCGTTTTGCTTTTTATTTTCCCATTTTTATGCTTCTTCTGCTGTTGCTGCTGGTGGTGTTGGTGCTGCTGCTGCTGCTGCTGTTTTCTTTCTGCCTTATTCTCTCCTGTTGTTTTGCGAGCTGCCTGGGGAGCATTGAGGCCATGAGACGGAGACCAACTTAGGTATGATATCTTTAAATGCAGGCAACACACATGGGTGTAAGCCAAAGCCAGAACGGACACGACTAGACTTACCTACCAATCGCAAAAGTTTCCGCCTGCAGCATCATCCAGCCAGCCATCCAGTCGGGGGGCTGCCAGCCCAACCCTTAGCCTTATCGGAATCGGAGTCGAGTTTTGGGTTGGTTTGCTACGGATCGGGAGGTGTATCCTTGCCGTTGTGGTTACTGGCTATGTTCCTGCTCCTTTGTTGTTGTTGCCGGTGCTGCTGTTGCTGTTGCTGCTGCTCCTACTCCTGCTCCTGCTCCTGCTCTCGTTGCCCTTAGCACTGCAAGGATAAATGAATGAGGAGGCACCCACACATACATGCACACACACACACACACACGGAGTCACATGTATGAGCCGGAGAAGCCCTGAAGGAACCTCCCCAGAACCCACTACAGCAGATGGAGGACTGCGGCCAGGAAAACCCCAAGTTTCAATCCCAAACACCGGGCACCTTGCCCGACTACAGTGGGCACTCGCTTGTGCGGAGCCCCAGTGGATTACATTCGAGTGGTGGTGGAGGCAGAGAGAGGCCCACTCCCCCGCTCGCCAAAGAGCTGTGCTGATGAATAAGCTCCCCGCCTTCCGAGGGTTCTTTGGACCCCAGTTCCGCCCGTATTCCGCATTCCGCATTCGGTATTCCGTACTCCTTGGCTTGGCTTGGCCCAGCTTGGCTTGGCTCGCTTTCCTTGCTTGGTTTCGTTTCGTATCCATCCATGATTTCCGCACTAATTCCAAACGATCGCCGCGGGCCTAGTCAGCTTTTGCCCTTTTTCGCTAGCTCTCTCGCTCTCGCACAGCTAGCCTTCTCTTTCGACACTGAAATAAGTAAGTCTCAAGTTGGGCTCTTACCAAGAAAGGAAATGATGTTTTCAGGGGAATCTATTTCATAGTTGTTTCCCAAAAGTTAATGACTAAAACTAGTGAATTATTTTTGCTATGAGCAGTCCAATAACTTCAGAATTTAAAGGGAAGTTGCACGCATTTCTTTCGAGTGCACCTAGCAACCAGGACACTCGGGCTGTCTGGTCTGGCCTTTGTGTGCGGAAGGTTGGCTGGCCGCAGGACATTTTCTAGGGTTACATAGTCAGCGTCGCAGTCGTCAACGTCTGATGCTCTGCCTAGGTGTGTGTCGCTATCTCAATGTGGGTGTATGTGTGCAAGTGTGTGTAGTGTGTGTGTGTGTGTGTGTGGTGTGCACTTTAGCTCATTTCTTGGCTTTTGTTTTCGCTTTTGTCCTGTTTTGGGAGGGCGAGTGCCAGCACCCCCACCACCACTTCCATTCGATCCATTCCGAAAACCGAGCACCCCAAGTCGTGGGGAATTGACTGGGTGGCACTGAAATGGGCGGACCTGAGTCGAGTTGAGTTGAGTTATCCTCCCAGCATTCGAACATTGAGCATGTGCCAACGGCCAGTTTTGTCCATAATTCCTTTTTGGAAAATGGTTTGGCCCCGGGGCCAGTTCATCCCGGACTGGCCAGCAACCTGATATCCAGCTCCGCACTCACAATCTCAACAATGGCAAACTAATAAGCTCTCCCAGCACTGCCATCTCTTTCTGCCGAATGAAACATGAAACTCTGGAACTCTGAAACTACGGCAGAAGTATAAGAGGAAGTCTCCGCCCCAGCAAATGTGCAATGCCAAGAGTTAAGAGTTAATGGCATTGCCATTAAAACCAGTCCATCGCCAGGCAAAGATGTCAAATGATGGCCACAGAAAGGCCGAGGATGCTGGATGTTGGATGCCAGGATGCCAAAATGATGGGGGGAAGTCGGTTGACAAATATGACTACGGCAAAGGCAACTCTTCAAAATTCACTTTGACCGGAGATGAGCACGTGACGGGGGAAGTTTTAGTTTGAACTTTTAGATATATCTAATATATTTTTATGATTAAAACATGAAAAGACTAATAGTGCATTGCCTTAGTTAAGGTACTTAAAATAATTCCAATTTATATTAAATTTTATTATATATTTCCTTAAAATCCTTTCTAGCTTCTGTTCGTATCCTCATATTTTGGTCATGTCACACTCTCACCTCTGAGTCTCATCTCAAGTGTAACCAAAGGCGCTGCGAACAACTCCAGCAACTCTGCCCCCGCCCAGCCGGCAGCCTTGCCCCTCAGCCACCCAACCTCTCAACCCCTTCCCCTTCTCACCCACCTCCTTTCCCCCTTCCACTCTGCTCATCCTGCTACTAGACGGCATAGAAAAGATACCGCCCGCGGCGATAATGGACTAGAATAGGATGCAAACTGCAGTGCTTGTCTTATATACAATACCGTTAGCTCAGGGTGTCCACACACACACACACGCACACATGTGCACCTGTATGAGCAGGTGTGTGTGTGTGTGTGGGACTTGTTGTTGTTGTTGCACCTGCTCAAGTGGGCCGCAAAGCAATTGAAATTGAATTGTTTGTGTGGCAAGCCAGAGCTCAGGCATTGCATATTTTGTGGCTGCAACTGCAGCAGTTGGCCCAAGGAAGGATATGGCCAGGAAGGAGTAGCAAGGGACGGGGGGCGGGGGTGGAAGGATATTGGCTGGGAAACCATTAAGCCAGATCCCATAAACGAATATGCAATGTTTGATTGAACGCATTACTCACGCTTTATAATTGCCGTAAATTAATAATAAAAACCCAGCTATGTAGCACTTCACCCAGTTTGAGTCCGTCTCTTCCGCCATCGCTGCCATGAGAATGCCTTGCAGACATTTATTTTGTGCAATTTTTTGTTTTGGTTTTTTGTGGCACTGCTTTTGGTTTCCATTTGCCGTAACCCTGTTCGACGTTCGCTCCTTGCGACTCTATTCGCCTCTTAGCCCTGTACATTCGTATGGTCCTCTGGTAGATCCACTCCCTCTCCGAGTCTCTGGTTCCCACTCGCATTTGAATGTTCATGTAGTTAAAGTTAATCAAATCGTAATTACCCAGCCCCAGTCGTTTTCGCCTTGGGCCCTCAAACATTTAAAAAAAGCAAACTTGTTTAGCTACATGGGCAGCGGTGATTTGTGGCAAAACGAGGAATTTGTACTCTTTGCGAGTGACTTTATCGGTATCATTAACTACTCTTTATCCATTTGGTGTGAAAGTTTCCAATGACTTTTATTTCATTTTCATTTGAGTTTAGTTATTATCAGAAATACTGTTATATATTGGCGTATTACTATCACATTATTAATACTATTAAAACTACAACAAACTACCATTTCCTTAGCAATCATCAAGAGTTACATTTTGTTTGGTCTAACTGAACTACCTCGACAAGGTTACTTCGAGAGTAACGTGCATTCATAACTGAAGAGAACTATCTGTGAGCCAGGTTAATGTGCATAAGCCATGTGAACATTTGTCATATGGGGCCAACCCGTTTGAGTTCCCCACCAACTGGTTGATTGAGTTTTATTAATTTGCGGTCCTGCAGTCGAGAAACTGATACTGATGATGATGATGTCGGTGATGGGGATGGGGATGGGGCTCTGCTTTGGCTTACCAGATTTAGATGTTGCTTGGTAATTGGTGTTGACTTTGTTAAGTCGGCTCAGTGGCCGCGTTGCGCATACGCCATGTGGCACGCATCTGACTGACACGTCATAATTGGCGAGCCCACATCGCACATTGCCGCTTTCCTCGGCGAAACAATGTGATTTTCGTGTGAAATTCGACTGGCAACCCTCCCGGCCAAAACAACAGCAACAGAGAGTGCTAAAACGATGCTCTCGATGGCCGTTAACATTAACTGCATCCACATCCACAGGCCTGGATTGGTTCGCTTTGGTGTAAGCTATATGCTACATGCTACATGCTACATGGCGATTTGGTCTTGTCCACGACCGAAGCTGCAGAGAGCCGATCGCTTGGGGCCCGAAGCCCCGTAACTGAGATGAAAACGCAGCGAAAAACCAAATATTCCCACACAATCAGCCCAAGACTATAGCCATATGAAATATATATATATATATATATCTGACTTGACTCTGCCCCATCCAGATCCAAATCGGTGTGTATGTGTGTGTGTGTAAACTTTTATGGGCCCTGTGGAGAGCTGCAAGCGCTTTTCGACCCGTCGCGGCATTTTCGTTGTCACGTTTGCTGTCCTTCGTCGATGTTGCTGTTGCTGTTGATGTTGTCCGTAATCAGAGTCAAGTCAATTTCGGTTTGGCGCGGGGTCAAATTGGTTCTCATGATTAGCCTTTTCGTGCCCCCTCTGACTTATATAAGTCGATCTAATTATATATATTACCCGATAATTAACAAGGCTTTTATCTATTACTTGGTTGCAGGAAAAAATGCGATATGGATCGAGAGCGCGAAAGAGATGTCAAGGCTCTGGAGCCACGCGACTTGTCCTCCACGGGACGCATCTACGCCAGAAGCGACATTAAAATCAGGTAAGTCTTTGGTTCTATTAGGAAAGAGATTATTTTAAGGATTAGAATTAAATATTGTTAAATTATTTATTAGGATTAACCAAAATATTTATTTTAAAAGAGCTGAAGAGAACATTTTTTCTGAGTATTCCGTGTTGTCTGGAAAGTCCAGAGTACTCTGTTGGCTATATAGAGACAGGCTTCCACTCCACATCCACATCTTCATACCCACAACCCCTCTCCTTTGACGCAAACAATCTCATTGTGAATTCGTGAATGGCTTTCGCCCGCAGCTCCTCGCCCACCGTCTCGCCAACGATCTCAAACTCCTCTTCGCCCACACCGACGCCACCCGCCAGTTCCTCAGTGACGCCGCTGGGACTGCCCGGAGCGGTTGCAGCTGCTGCCGCTGCCGTCGGAGGAGCCTCCTCGGCAGGGGCCAGTTCCTATTTGCACGGCAACCACAAGCCCATCACCGGCATCCCCTGTGTGGCCGCCGCCTCCCGCTACACGGCTCCCGTTCACATCGACGTGGGCGGGACCATCTATACCAGCTCACTAGAGACACTCACCAAGTACCCGGAGTCGAAGCTGGCAAAGCTCTTCAACGGCCAGATACCCATCGTTCTGGACTCGCTGAAGCAGCACTATTTCATCGATCGCGACGGGGGCATGTTCCGCCATATTCTGAACTTTATGAGAAACTCAAGACTTCTGATTGCCGAAGACTTTCCGGACCTGGAGCTGCTGCTGGAGGAGGCCCGCTACTATGAGGTGGAACGTAAGTATTCTGCTTTAAAGCACACAGAGAAAAATACACTTTCCAAATATCTGTGATATAACTGCCATGTCCAGTTAGCCATCCTTGATATTTTCTCTCTGTGCATCAAGCCTCGTTATGGCCACTAGCGATTATAGCTAATTTGGTCTTCTCCCTGTCTACCCCTTTCTCTCCACATGACCGGTCCGCCCGCAGCGATGATTAAGCAGCTGGAGAGCATGCGTAAGGATCGCGTTCGCAATGGCAACTATTTGGTGGCGCCACCCACTCCACCGGCTCGCCACATCAAGACGAGCCCGAGGACCAGTGCATCGCCGGAGTGCAATTACGAGGTAGTGGCGCTGCACATCTCGCCGGACCTAGGCGAGCGCATAATGCTGTCGGCGGAACGGGCTCTGCTCGACGAGCTCTTCCCGGAGGCCAGCCAGGCGACACAGTCGAGTCGCAGCGGAGTGTCCTGGAACCAGGGCGACTGGGGGCAAATCATCCGCTTCCCCCTCAACGGCTACTGCAAGCTCAACTCGGTCCAGGTGCTCACCCGACTGCTCAACGCCGGCTTCACCATCGAGGCCAGCGTTGGTGGTCAGCAGTTCTCCGAGTATCTGCTGGCACGACGCGTTCCAATGTGATAGGCTCTGGCTAGGGATTCCCCAGCTCCCCAAGAAGCTGCAGCTGCCGTTGCACCATCAGTTCCGGTTGCTCCAGTGGCTTCTGTTTCCGGTTCCGGTTCGGGTTCGGGTTCGGGTTCCCTGCGACGCGGCCGTCTGATCCATGTGCGTTGCAGGCGTTAATCGTTCTGGGTCAGGTGATCAAAAATCCCAGCTGGGTGGGGTTAGCTATGAACAATTCCAAGTAAAAGAAATTGCTGATCAAGGCAAAGGAGATCGCGTTTAGAAACTGACGAAGCTTAAACGTGATTTCTGTAGAATAACTTCAGAGAAGGTACTATTGCTCAGAATTCTTCATATATTTTACCCATAACAACTCGACCCACCCTCGTCGGAGAACGTCTGCTCATCGCTGCTCTGAGCAGCAAAATAAAACACTTAGAAATACTTGAACACCCTTCGCAGCGGATGCAAGTTCTGAATCTGAATCCAAATGTTATTTAATGTTTATCAATTAAGTTTGCTGGCACCGACACTGGACGCAAACCCACTCGTGCGTATTATTAAGCCTTTAGAGAGCCAAGAGCCCAGCACTGATTTTGTTTATTAGCCTTGCGTTTAAGTCGAATATTGTTTCTCTAAGTGTACCACCTACAGCTAATGACCTTGAGTTGTTCCATTGAATCGAATTGGCCACAGTTTGCAGATGGCTTAAATTATTGTAACACACACACACCCACACACACACACACTGGGTAAACTATGGTAGAGTAACATAACCCAAGATCAACTCACAGCGAAAATAGTTTTGTAGTACTTAATTGATGTAATTGAACCTTTATGAATGTAAACTATGGGATAACTTTTTCAATATATACGACCGACGTCTAAATAGTCTACACCAATTCAAATAAAATTACATGCAAATATAGATATATTCAACAAAATACAGTTTGCGACCACGCCCTCTATAGAACAACCACTCAATTGAATATTTAAATAAAGCAAAAAATACGTGTAAGTTGTTTTTCTTCTTATTTAGAAGGTTTGTATTTAAATTTGAATAGCTAACGGATATCAACCGGTAATCCAGATGTCGGAAAGGCTATGATATATAGATGTCGCTTTGGCTTTTACATGAAGTATAAAATGTAAGATACACGGTGGCTTTGATTTTAAAGCAGTATCTGCGTGTAAAGCAGTGAACAACAATTGCGAACCATTTGAATCTGATACATGGTGTTCCTGTTTTATCATAGTGCAAAGCAGTTCAAAAATATAATTTATGCCTGATACATGGTGGTCTTGTTTTGTAAGCAGTTGATAATTTGGTAAAGCAGTTCAGAAAATATAGTTTCGGATTGACACATGGTGGTCTTGTTTAAAAAGCAGTGTAAAATAATAACTAGCCGTTTGAAACTGATACATGGTGCTCCTGTTTTTTAAGCAGTTCAGAATATCTTAAAGCAGTGCTTATATTGCCCCATTTGCAACTTTAAAGATCTTCTAAGAAGTATCTCAAATAAATTATCAAGATCGTTTCCCAATTGATACTATTAATAATTCCTGGATATTCATTATTTTCCTGGCAATGACAGTTTAGAGAAGCAGTGATCTGATTTCAGATATGCGAAAGTATCTGCAAATATCAATAACTTTCCATAATTAAAACGTAAAGATTTATTGAAAAATAATTTTATTTGTGTATATATATTCACATACATGTATATAGTCTAGTTTAAATTAAATTAACTTATCCAGTAGGCATAACTTGGCAAATCTACACGTGTATATATTGGTACATATATTGTATATAAGAAGTATATGTGTGTGTTTTCTATGATTACTTATGTATCTTTGATCAGTAGAATATCGCCTAGGCATTCGCTTACACTCTAGTGTGCCAACAAGGTATTCGAAATCTTTAGGAGATTTGCATCGATCGATGCATGGCACGCTCGGGATTTGATTGTAAAACTTTCACATATTGTCGAAGTAGTCGAATGGGATTTGAAACTAGGCCTAAAATTGCATAAGATCGGTGTGTGGCTACGCATTGATTAGTTTTTCTACTATTTTCATTGCTTAACTGTTTCGAGTCGTTCGATTTGTTCATCGTGTTAGAAGTCCTTAGGTCGAGTCCTACAAACTATATCACAGTTGGAAACTAGGCGCTACTAGAGACTACGGCTAACTACAAGTACAAGAAGTAATTGATGGCCGAGTGATCAGGACATCTCGGATTAGCTAAGTGCGCCCTCCGGTGGAGCCGATCCTCTTGGATCTCTTCGAGTTTGGCTTGACGGAGGCGTCTAAGAAATGCACTATCGGTGTTTTGTTCTCGTAATTACATGGATTCTACAAGCGCAGGACCGCGACGACGGTCCCTGCTGACTACAGCTTTAGAGGCTAAGGGCTAGAGGGTAGAGGATAGAGGAGTATACACAAAGATGCTGGGGGACTGGCTAAGTACACTAGAGAGTAATATCGGTAGTAATATACAAATCTATCGGGTCGGTCTAGGCTTTGTACAGGCGCGCGGGCTCCTATCTAAGATAACAGCCAGTAAAGGCATCTCCGCATGGCTTCCAAAGGCACTTGGCAAGATTCTCCTCCTTCCATTGGCAATAAGCTGCTCCTCCCTTAACGGAGAGTCTACACCCTCGTCTCCGTGTTGCGGTTTCGATGCAGAGGCTGGAGCTCTCTTTGGGTATCATTGTAGTACTCGTGATCGGAGCTGGTCGGCTCACTGCCAGGGAGTGGCACCTTGACCTCCATGGTGCTCGGAACTCCCATCACCGGAATCCCAATGGTCTGGGTGGGTATCGGCGCCTCGCCTACTCCCAGTGTCTGCGCGTTGAGCAGATACTCTGGATTGTCCACGCTAACGGGCACTCCGATGAGATCCATGTAGCCGGCGGCCACGCCCACCGCTGCCATGTTGTTTTGATTGGGATTGTTGGTGTTATTGTTGTTGTTGGGTCCCGGCTGGCAAGTGGGCATCAAGTAATCGTCCTCATCAACTGGCAGATCGAGGCGCAGATTTCCGACGCCCACTTCCCTGGCACTCGAATCCGTTTCATCATCTCCGCCACTGGAATTCTTGTTGCTGGGATCCTTGCAGTAGCGATTCAGCTTGGGTATCTCATCAGTGCAATCGGTTCTGTGGCTAGGCCCAGGTGCAGCCTTGGGTTGCAGGTAGTCATCCGGCTCCACAATTGTTTCAGAGCCGTCAGTGGTGGGCGCCAGTTTCCGGATGAGGTCCTTCTCATCCTGACTCGTGTATGCTGGCAGGCGAGTGAACTTATCGCCTGGAATGACCAGATACCGCCCCGGATCTCTGGCGAACTCTGCAAAGACCGTGGTCAGTTGTTTGAAGGTCGGCCGCATGGCAGCATCCAAATGCCAACAGGAGAGCAGGGTGCAGTAGATGTCCAGTGAACAAATCCCTGGCTGCTCCAGCTTTAGGCCCACTTCGATGAGATCGGGAATGTCCTTGGCGGGTATGTTCTCGTGAGGCCGCTGGCCGAAGGTCAGCAGTTCCCAAATGGTCACACCAAAGGCCCACACATCCGATTTGCTGGTGAAGACGCGGTTGCGGATGCACTCGAGTGCTAGCCATTTGATAGGCATCTTGCCACCGGGAGCCTTGTACTCATTGGAATCGCTGCTCAACAACTTGGCAAGTCCAAAGTCGGTGATCTTCACCAGCGAGGGAGTCTGCACTAGGACATTGCGGGCAGCCAAGTCCCTGTGTACCAGTCGCTTCTCCTCCAGATACGACATGCCCTTGGCGATTTGTGTGCTCCAGTTAAGCAGCGCCTTGGATCCGATCTTGTCCCGATTATTCCGTACATAGTCCAGCAGGCAGCCTAGGGGCATCAATTGGGTAATCAGCATCATCTGCGATGACATGCAAACCGCCAGGAGTTTCAGCAGATTCACATGCTCTACGGATGCCATAATGTAGGCTTCGCGCAGGAACTCCTCGCTGGACTCGGCACCCGTAGACTTAAGAAGCTCCTTGATGGCCACCGGGATCTTAACGTTCTCACCCTCCGGCACCCAAACGCCCTTGTACACTCGGCCAAAGGCTCCCATTCCAAGGACTCCGCCCTTTCGCAACTCGGCATCCTTGACGATGCGCAGCTTACACAGATTGGCTCCAATGTTCGAGGGACGTAGTGGCTCGGAATCCTCGCAGCCGGACAGAGCCATGGTCATCTTGACGGTCTCCTTCTTGGCCTTCTGCTTCTGCCGGCAAATGTAGGTGACCACGCACAGGATGCAGATGGTCGGCACCAGAACAGCCCCCGTGATAATGAATATCATGTTCACATCCAGATTGGCAGTCATTTTGCTGCTCCTCGGCGGACTGGAGGCACAATACGGACCAATGGCCGTGGACTGATAGTTCACGTGCCGCATATCCAAGGGACACTTCGAGGTGCAGTTAAACATGGTGGAGTTCGCATAGGGGCCGGTCTCGTTGGCGTCAAACACCTTGAAGTTGCGACAGGCCAGGCAGTCGTCGACTCCAGGACCCGTGCACCCGTTGCACTCTGGATGGCACTGGAAGCACTCGCGTCGCTCCTCGTCCGTGTAGTGATCCGACGGACACTCAGTCTCGCACTGTTCCCGCCGCTTGTAGTGGGTGCATTTGGAGCAGACCTGTTCGTGGTACCCATAGTTCGTGCAGAGTTCGCACAGAGGGTGGCACTTCCGGCAGACGGCTCTACCAGCAAGCGGCTTCAGCGATCCCTGCTCCTGCGGGTGCACATACTCCCAGAAGTAGCCGTCCGGGCATTTGTCATCCTTCAGCAGGCAGCGTTTCACAGTGGCGTCAGTGTTGATGATGGCCAAATTGCAGGTCTTGCAGGCCCCAAGTCCGATGGTGTCCTTGGGCCCAGTGCACCCATCGCAGGTGGCATGGCATTCGCGGCAAATACCGTGGTCGTTGTACTTGTTACTCGGACACTCGGACACGCAGTGCTGGCCGTCCCTCACGTGCACGCACTCCTGGCAGTGGTCTGCACCAGATCCTGTGCATGTCCGGCACTCTGGATGGCACATCTTGCAGGTTCGGTTGTCGAACTGGTAGGCACTGATAGGAGGAAAAACAATGGGTTAGATCGGGTTCGTTAGATTCCTAGAATGGGGTTTGGTACTTACTTGGATATATTACCACAGTCGGCGATGCAGGTGCCATTGAAGTTGAAGTTCTTGCAGGTGAGGCACTGATCGTTGCCAGCTCCCCAGCAGCCATCTTCGTTGCACTGATCCGAGCAAATGGTTCCATTTTTCTCTGTAAATCGTAAAGAAAGGAAGAATTTAGATGAGATGTGTTTTTGGGACTTTATGTTAATCTAAACTCCAAACTTCGATAGGTACTTACCGCACAGCTCCGCTCTACGGTTCTCGTTCACCCACACCTTTTGGTCGGGCGTCATCTGTACGGCCGGCCACCGGATGTTGCTCACGTAGCAGAGGTCCCGATTGTGCTGGATGACCACACTGCCGGAACTGATCTGTTTCAGATTGCGCATCTCCAGGCTGTGGAGGGAGGACTTTACGATGGCCAACGCGGCAAACAAGCTCTCCACCAGCTGGCGACCGTGGATGATCTCCAGGTTGCGGAAGTACGAGAGGTTCTTGAACTGCGGATGGGTTCCCTCGATGTTCAGATAGCCAGTGATCTCCTTAACCGTGGAGAAGACCTCCAGTCGCTCGGGATCCAGCGGAATGTAGCGCGGTCCCATCGTGTAGTTGTTGTAGACGTCCTGGAAGCCCGAGAAGGTCTGATCCAAGATGCGAATATTGCCATCGATGATAGTGCAGTTCCGGAAGGAATCAATGTTTCCGGCGTGTAGAACGCCGACGCCAGTGCAGGTCTTGGGACATGGTCCATTACAGGGTACACACTCGCTCTGCTTGTCCATCTTGTCCTGGGGACAGCTGCGGACACAGGCGCCGTTATCGCGCAACAGGTGACCCGGGCACTCCTTGACACAGGTGGCTCCGTAGGCGTACTTGCCCTCGGGATTGGCCTCTAGGACATAGGTGGTGGGGTTGTACTTGCGCATGGGCGGGCACTCCTCCTTGCAGACGCCCTCGTCGAAGAAGTTCTTGCAGGCGATGCAGTCCTTTTGGGTGGGCCCATTGCATCCTCCGGCGCAGAAGAGATGGCAGCACTCCCGAGGCTTGGGCCCATAGCAGCGACCTCCGGCACACTGGGGCGAGCAGGTCAGCTTGCTGAACTTCTGACAGTTCTTCGGTCCTTCGCCCCAACAACCGTTGGAGCAGCTTTCATGGCACTTGGGGCACTCTCGTTCCGGGGCCGTGAAGTTGTAGTTGTAGTAGACGCCGTTGGACACGATCTCAGACCACTGGATCGTCCGCATGTGACAGAGGTTGTAGTTGTTGTGGAAGCCGACATAACCATTAAGGACGTCACGTAAGTCAGGAATCTCCAGTGTGTACATCTTGGAGTAGGTGACGAACAGGGCGTACTTCTCCTCCTCCACGGACAAACTGAGCAGCGTGCGGCCGCGAATGATTTGCAGTCTGTAAGTTGGAATATAAAATATTAGTTTATGTTATACGAGTATACCCATGATTCGTCACCAGTTATGACCCTTTTGAGTAAATCTGGGTCGTCGTTGACGTCATTCAACAGCTCTTGAGCGATGCTCATGCGACGGTTCTTTTGGTCAAAATTCAGCAATTTCGGAACAAACTTCGCTGACACACGACTCATACCCAAAACGTTTGAAAAAATTTCATGGCACGAGCCAAGCGATATACCGACATCTTCAGCAACTTCTCTGATAGTGATTCGACGATTTTCCAAAACAATTTTCGTCACTGCTTGAACGTTTTCATCAGTTGTTGACGTGCTTGGGCGTCCAGAGCGAGGCTGGTCATTGGCATCTTCCCGGCCATCTTGGAAGAGTTTGTACCACTTGTACACATTTTTTTTACTCAGAACAGTTTCACCGTATGCCACTGTCAACATTTCAAGTGTTTCAGAGCACTTAATTTTATTTTTTACACAAAATTTGATGCAAATCCTTTGATCCATATTTTTCGATAGCAAAAAATCGCCGAGCTCGCAAAATAACTTGTAACTTTACGCCTCTCACAACCAAACAAAAGAGGATGTTCCATTGAAACTTGGTACAGATGTTAGGGAAGAGTGTACCAATATAACAAAACAAAAAAATCGATAATCGAAAATATGTTGCCCGCGAAATTTGAAAAGTCACCTTACTTTTTGAACACACTTGTTTGGTTGTGAGAGATTTTTTGGCCAAAAACAACACCACAATAATGCCTCAGCCACCATATTCTCTTCAATCGTTGCAAATCTCCGTCCTTTCATAGGTCTCTTCAGTTTTGGGAACAAGAAAAAGTCACATGGGGCCAAATCCGGTGAATATGGTGGCTGAGGCATTATTGTGGTGTTGTTTTTGGCCAAAAAATCTCTCACAAGCAAAGATGAGTGAGCAGGGGCATTATCGTGATGCAAAAGCCATGAATTGTTTTTCCACAATTCTGGACGTTTCTTTCGTATTGCTTCTCGCAAACGGCGCATAACTTCCAGATAATACTGTTTATTGACCGTACGACCATATGGTAAGAACTCCTGATGCACCACGCCATGGTAATCGAAGAAAACAGTGATCAAAACTTTGACATTTGATCGAACTTGGCGTGCTTTTTTCGGTCTTGGCTCGCCTGGGCTCTTCCATTGGGACGATTGGGCTTTGGTTTCGATATCATAACCATATAAAAAGCTCAACTTACTTTGGAAAGATCACGTGCTTGACGTCCACATGACTGATCAGTATATAGCCAGTGACCTCCCGAATGTTGTCCAGGAAGCTCAGGTCCAAGTCCTCATTCGAGAGCCAAGTCAGCTCCAGGTTGCCATCCACATAGGTGCAGTTGGTGTATCGATCCCTGAGGTTCCGGTAATGGTGTTCCTTGTCCGAGGGCACCGACAGGCGGGATTTGGTGCCAATGCAGACTGCAAAGAGAGTTGACAAAAGGGAAATCGTTGTAATACTGTGGGTGTTGATGCGGGCTAATGGGTTTTGTTTCTGGGCTGACCCTAAACTGTCCAATTATCCACAGCCCACCAGGTTGGGTAGGTGTTGATATTGACTTATGCCCGGGCAGCTTTGGGAAATTAATTTCGATTCGAACTTTGGATCGTAAACGGAAATAGCTATGCCCAGTGTTTGTTGTTTGTTGCTTGTTGGCTCGGAAGCTATAAAATGAGGTAGAAACCGAAACAAAACCTGTGGGCGCGAGACTCTCAGTGCCAGTTGGCGTTTTTAATAATTAGCAGCCCACGCAGTCTCGCTTCTCATCCCAGACGGCCTCTTATCATTAGTCAGCGACCTGTTTTAGCCGATCGCGTAGTCGAGCATCTTCATCTCCGGCGACAACTTCATTGATTTGCATCCGATAGATATAAATTCATATGCGGAGATTCTTATGAAAAGGGCTACGTGGGCTAGTCTCTAGCAGCTAGACTTGCTAGTTGCAAGTCCGTGTGGGCCGCGAAAGTGTGCCATGTGTCAGCGGTGAGTTGGAGTTAGACACCCACCTTTGTGGAGTTGCTTTCTGGCCCAGCCCACGGAGCAGGGCACCCAACTAATTATCCACAAAATGGCCGCTCCTCCTCCTCCTACTCCTCCTACCACTGACTTTATCGATTTCCTTCGAAGTTCGAACAAATATCCCATAATTATGAAGAGGAACGAACCAAAGACAGAAATATTTCTGTCGCCAGAAACGGAGAAATTCCTTTGGCGATGGGAAGAAAAAGTTAAATGCCCCCAGATATGCGTCCCATGCATTCCGCCAAAAGGCAAGAGCACCAAGGGGAGGAAGCAGAGGAGATGGTGAAGGTGAGGCCACGACTGGGACCTCGACTTTGTCGCTGGACACTGATCAAAAGCGGCTGCAGCAATCGAAGCGCAAAAATTTTCGTACAAATTCTTAAGCTTTGTTTCTGCCCAGTTTTTTGTTTGTTTTTCATTTTATTTTATTCTTTTTTTTTCGGTCGAGGTTGCCGCTGGGCAGCAGCATCAGCATCAGTCGCCTTCATTTCTCATGCCGAACGGAGCCGACATCACGAAACCCTTTTCAAGACTCGACTCCTCGACTGGGCTTTATCGCGCACAATTTATCAGCCAGGTTTTTCATGTTCGAGGCCTGAAACTTAAGCCACGACGCGACGCGACGCGGCGGCAGTGGATTCCCTGCCAGGCAAACGCCTCGGCTCGGCTTTCTTGTGAATCGAGCGTGGCGGGGCATTTGCGATTTTTCTTCTCGGCCAGGCCAGGCCAGGCCAGGGACACGCCCGCCGCCGCAGCCTCAGCAGCGGCCGAGCTCACAAAAAGGCTAATTTGTAATCCTTAGGCTAAGGCTAAGTGTGGCAACATTACTGAGCGGCCGGAGACTCTACTGTCTCAGCACAGCATAAGCACAAATCAAAGTCATAATTCATGATGTGCTCATTAAAACAAAAGACTTAGGCAACGAACTTCAGCGCGGAGATTAATCAACCAACACAGATGCGCAAACTACAAACGCAGACTCTGGAAAATCGCTGTATTTGCTGTATTTGTTTATCGATTTGTATGCCGAGCCATCAACACACACGACTTCATCTCCGTGGTTGCCCTTCGCCGCCCCTTTGGCCATCGACTGGCGTACTGATTAATAGGCAACCGCATTCCAGACTTTAACTCGCTGACTTTCTAAATATTGTTTTTGTTTCCAGCTGCCGTGTTTGCCTTTTCCCCGAGATGGAAATGGAAATGGAAATGGTAGTGGAAAGCCAGAAGACTGCATAATCGATTCTTTCGGTTTTCCATCGGCAATTTGACTTTTGGACCCCGAAGTTTTCCTCCGATTCTGGCCTAGACGCAAAGCGTTCTTGACGTGCTCCTCCGAGCTACTCCCCAGCCACCGATTCCCCCAGCGATCGCTGCAACAGACCCGACTCGCTCAGCCGGTTCTGCGCACTTAACAGTTTTTGTTGCTCACGTTCGTACCGCTCTCGGCGCTCTTTACCTTGCCTTGCCATGCCTTGCCTTGCCTTGCCTCACCTTCCCTTCTCTTGTTGCCTCGCTGCCTGATTCCCTGTATCTGTATCTGTGTTTTCATTTCGTGGAAAAGATTTTTAACTCATGGCCCGAAACCAAAGCCAAAAACAAAAACAAAAAACCAAAAACCAAAACCCAGACCCCAGATGGCTGGCAACATTTTTGTGTACCCTCGCCCGAGGGGCAACACGAAGAACAAGAATTGTCTAGATTTTGTTGTAATATAACAAAAGATTTAAAAGGGCATTAGGCAGGCTTTGTTTTCTCAGAGTTTAGATCCAGAGCCATGAGAGATCGAATGTTTGCTTACCCCATTCGATCAAATTATCGGGCACTGCCGCCGTCCGTTAGTGCCGCCGGCGGTATGTGAGTTTGGAGATATTTTGATGAACAAGTACATTGATCTGATCCGCTGATCGGTGGCTGGTGAAAGTTTCGATCCGGCGCCATATGCAGATGCAGCTGCCCGGATCGCAAGGTGTCATGGATAAACGTCCGACAGCAATTGCAATGCGATTGGTATGGCCCCTCTCTCTCTCTCTCTCTCTATCTCACTATCTCTATTTCTTTTTGCCGCCCCACAACTGGCCATAAATAATTCATAACTGTTTTGCGACAATTTCAGTCCATTGCGGCTCGGCACGCGCCTATTTTACAATGAAATTGTGTAAAAGTGCTTAATAAATTCATTTGCGCGGCCATTAAAAACACGCAGCTCATTAGGGGAGGGGGCTTAGCACTGGATTGCAGCCAAAGCTGCAGTCAGAGTCGGAGTCTCCAGTCCGACGCTTACGTGCGCGGATTTTGCAATTTTCCTCTCTCTCTCGCTCCGAGTTTTTCCTGATTTTTTCAGACTTTTATTTCGCTTTTGCAGAATGCTGTTGCGGCAACTTTCTTTCGTGCTGACTGCTATTTGCCGCGATGTTCTATGCTCGCATCGTGGCGTCACGAAGGCGAAGGCAAATAAGTGCAACTGCAGCGGGTGGTGGGATGATGGCACGGATTTAAGGGAGGGGCAGGGAACACGAAAAAGGGGCCAGGAAATCTTCGCCAGAAAACGCTTGAAGCGCAGGCGCATCTTCAGCCTGACTTGGCATAACAAATTTCCAGGCAGCACTCGTCGTGGCAGCCACAAAGCACTGGCAATCGACTGTCCCTGGGTTAACAGAAGGCACTGTCGGAAATATATCCCCAAAAGTTATATATATTTATATATATAATACTTTAACAAATTTATAATCAAACCCCCGACCCAAAAATAACTATAAATTGCAGGGAAAATATTATAAAGTAACTACAAGTCCTGCTAAAAAAAAAGGTACAACACTCGACTTTCTTTCAGTGCCTGAACAAAGGCAAATCAGGCAACGGCCACAAAACCAAGATGCAGCAACAAGAGGCACAAAAAGGCAGCCTCTTGGCTGGAGATGATGGTGATGGTGATGCCTTGTGGCGGCTCATCTGGCTGGTTTTCCTTAGCAGCGACGACGAGGAAGGTGACTGTGACGATGACGGTGACCCTCCCCTGATCCTCGATCCCCGATCCCCGATCCTCAGCGGCATGATCAGCATCTTCTGCTTTCGGGTTTTCGTGTTCGAAGCGCGTTCATTTTGTTTCGAACAACAATTGGGCGCAGGTCGTGAGGCACGACAGCGTAAAGCAGAAAGCAACAGCAACAGCAACAGCAACGCCAAAGCAAAAACAAAACAGCAAGCGCAACAGCAATGCCTGGATTAGATAAGCTTATTGTTTTCGCTGTTGCCAGTACTCTTTGTTCTGGACCCCCAATCATCCAATCCCCTTAGCTCCCCAGACACCCCCCTTAATCATCGAAAAACCCCAACTGGGCTGAGCTGCAGCATTTGGCTTTGGCTTTGGCTTTTGCTTTAGCTTTAGCTTCGGACTTGGCTTAATGAGCACGCCCTGGCGCCATTTTTGGTCTGCTGCCTGGCTTTGAATTTTCGCATTCGCAACTATTTTTAGGCATAGAACGGCTCAAGAGCGAGACGGAAAAGAAAATCGGGGAGAGGTCTCAGAAGCGATTTTGCAAACAGCCACAGCCACAGCCGCAGAAACAGCAGCAATTCGTGGGCAGAGGACCGACAACCTCGGTTTTAACTCTGGTTTTCGAAATCGAACGCCCACACGCAAAAAAAGAGGCAAAGAAAAGGTAGAGGCGGAGGCAGAGCGGCAAAGCCAACTGCAGTCAAAAGTTCACAAAACTCAGCACAGCAAGAAAAGTTGCCTATTTATATAAGATGACTTTCCTTACTATGTAAAAAGTATCTGGAAAGTATTTCATAGAGGACTTATTCATAAGTTCTATAAGTTACGATCTAATGCCTAGCAACTCAATAATTCTAAGAAGAGGTATTTTTAAGATTGAATCATTTATCATTGCCTTACTTTCCCATTGTAAAGATCATAAATAAAATATAAAAAAATATTCAAAACAAAATAATAAGCATTCTTTTTCTGGGCTGCCTCGGAAAAGTATCTTTGGGTCCAGGAAAACCAAACAAACATGCGCTGAGAGAGCGCAGGGAACAATCAACAAGTGAGCGACAGACTGCGCAATCGCAGCAGCCCGAGATGCTCTTTGGTTTTGTTTTTGTTGCTTTGTGTATGTTTTCCAGCCTCTCTGCTCTCTCCTGCTGCTTTCTGTATCTGTGTGGGTTTTAGAAAACCAGTATTTCGACTCGTACTCAAAATTACTGGAAGCAGTTGAACGGCTAAAAGTAAATGCAACGCTAATGCATCGGGCCTTAAAGTTCAACATCGGCTGACTGGCAAGCTCTGACCATTTCGCAGTTCAATTTGGCCATTATTTGTTTGAAATGATGGCTTAATCATGAATATTGTACAAAAATGCAAAAGCTCACACACACACTGGAAAGTCAGCGCGTGCCTGTCGCCGTAATTAGCTGGAAAATGCTGCTTGGGGTTTTCAGGGGGGAATGGTTTGAGATGCTGGTTGGACTCGGACTTGGACTCACGAAGTCATCGCAACAAAGCGCACTATGGAATGCGGTTTTTCAAGCACCAGCACGCACACTACTTCTGATCTGTGTGTGTGTGTATCTATGTGGGGGGAGGTGGGTGGTTGTAGATGCAGCCAGAGATTTGAACACCAAAGTTTAGAAGGAAGGGATACTAGAGGAGCTATACGTTCTTAAATTCTCTTTTCTTAATAAAGAAATTATAAAAAATAAATGGATTAATAATAAAATTAAAGTAGAATTGCATAAGGAAGATGAATTTCTTAATAAGAAATCTACAGAAACTGTCACTGAATGAATCTGAAGTTGTACTATAACTTTGCCCGATTGAGCGCTTGAAAGATGGTTTATTGCAAACAACAACTGCCAGTTGCCGGAGTTCCCCAACACCCTCGATCATTTTTATTTAACGGCTTCAATTCGCCTGCACGTGCAGGCTTTTCTCTAGCATTTATTTGCATATGAGCCGCAGCTGTGCTTATTTATGGTCGTAAAGAAAAGGCGAAACAGTAACAGCGAGCAAACAACTCGAGCGATTTCTGCGAAAAAGGGCATTGCGACAACAATCGAATTGCGAAAAAAAGGGGTAGTAATCATGGCAGAAACACGGATCTTTATCGGCTTTATAGCCCGCTTATCTAGCCCTACATATATCCGAATATCCGGCTATGTCGTCACTATCATCCTCCATTAGCATAGGCCACATAGCCAAAGTTTTCCTATCAATATTTGCACAGTTGCCGGCGCACAATGCGTACATTGAGTTATTAATTTGCAGCTACAAGATCACTGAATACTGCCTATCGACGGGGCTGCCTTTATTCGCCTCCCTTTCTTAATTTTGTATTTTTCTGTTTGCCCGCCAAATACAAACATTTGCCCCAAAGTATTGTGCAAACAGACACAGCCCGATACGCAGTGCTGTTCATTAAATTGGTGGCCAAATGGTTATTCAAACAGCTAACCAGCCAGTCAGCCAACAAGCTAGCCGAAAGTTCCAGTATGCGAATACAAATTTATATTAATTTCCCAATGGCCAACAAGCAACCAGCAAGCCCAGTAAGAAAACCTCGAGAACTGCAGAGTCAACAAGTTGAGTCGCCATTTTAGCTGGAAATTGTGTCGCTAGTCGCTAGTTGCCAGTTACCAGTTGCCAGTTGTGGAAAATTGCAATTGCTGCTGATGCCAGTGAAAAGGGCACGCAGACGGCGGGAAAAGTCGAGGGGCTTTAACACTAACTAACTACGCTTTACCTTGTACATTTGACATTTCGAAATGCATAAGCAACGGCCTCTTTGGCTAATCAGTGTGTTCTGGTATTCTGGAACTGTGGCATGTATGTTTGCCGTGATATCTGATGGCGAGGTGTGGGGGAAACCGAAACAGGGGCGATAGTGCACACAAGAGTCTTTGACTAAGCCAGCGCCAAGTCAAGAGGTGAGAGCAGGGCAGGTGAGACCAGCGCAAAGGGCAGGTATAGAGTAGGGGAAGAGAGTGTTACGCACTAGGGGATACCCTGGCGTATACTTGATATTTGATTAATAGGTGCTTTGGAAGATAAAATCATCAAATTTTCAAAGGCATTAGATGGAAGTTAGATTTAAAAGCAAGAGATTAAGATATTTCCTTATCTGATATCCATATCTAGGCTTGGAAATACTTAAGAAAAACCCTTTTTTCCCTCAACCCTCCAACAAAATTAGGCTGTTGCACAATTTTCGCATACCCCTTGTTAAGTACTATTCCCAGGGTAGCGATAAAACCAAATAATACGAAATGCAGCCGAAAACGAAGCTATATAAAGTGCAGCATGAGGGGCAAACAAAACCAAAACAAGAGTCCACTGGCGATAAGATAACCAACAGCATATCGCTGGAACAGAATTGAAAACCCAAAAAGAAAGGCGGTGGAAACTCCAGAGCTCAACTGATATGGTGGGCATATTCGGGTTGAGTTGGCCTTTTGATATATGGGCAGGCAGGCAGTTGGGCCGGCAGGCAGGGAGATGATCTACATAAACACATTGTGATAGATGGGCGACTTGAAGAAGACGGATAGATCCTGGCGTTGGACTTACTTTTTCCCTTGACGAATTCGTTCTTTGACTTCTCCTCGATACTGGTGGGAATGGTAGCGCCATTGGGACCCAGTCCCAAAGCGAAATTGGCCCCGCTCCTCTGGCGGTCCCTCGTCGAAGAGCTGCGGTAGAGATATCTATCCCGATCTCGATCTATATCCTGATGGCGCTGGCGATTGTTCTGGCGGGCATAGCGATCGCGGGCCGCCGAGGCGGGCCAGATGCAGATGCAGTGGGCCAGGAGGAGCAGCAGCAGGGGCAGGCAGAGGCCGTTGCGCCGTCGCAGCAGCATTGTTGGGCGGTGGGTGGTTGGCGTTTTAGCTGGTGGGCGGTACAGTGGGATCATTCAAGCCCTGTTCCAAGCTATAACCCCTGACGTCATAGGGCTTATTTTTTGCAATATTTTTTTCTTGAACTTGCGGTTTACTTTCGGCTTCTTTATGCTCACTCAGCTTTGCGTGCCGAAGAAACAGCTTTTTTATAATTTTTTTTTTCGACTCTTTCACTGCGTTTGCCGCTGCTGTTGTTGTTGTTTTGTATTTAAGCTGTTGTCGTTGCAATTTCCCACTGTATTGGTGTTTACATTTCACTGTGTGTGTGTGTGTGTGTTTTCGAGTGGGTCTTTCAACGCGCGAACGTGTGTGTGTATGAGTGTGAGTGTGTAGGAACCAGTTTCACGTTACGAGCCACAAGAGTCGTCCGAAGGCTTTTATATATAATTTTTGTTATTTTTCAGATGTGTTTTTCAGCTTCTTTATTTTTTGTCCACCGATAACTTTTGAGGTTAGGAAGGCTTGCGCAGGCGCAGCTTTAATTGCCCTAAGCAATTGTTGTTTTGGGCCCACAGCCGTTGAGTTGCACATTCAAACCGCACTTGGCCATCTTCCGAACCGAGCGAGTGGCTCTCGACTGCGTACCACCACCACAGGAGCAACTCCGTCTGCCAATTAGCAGGGAAATCACAAAACTACGTTTAGTATAGGCCACAAGCACTTGGTTTACACCCGGTCTGGTTTTGGAATTTTTGCGGATTGCGATTTCTCGGTATTTCGATTAGCACGATCTTCGAATTAGCAATCGCCGCGATCGAGAGCAAAGATATACTATAAAGCAGAGGAGGATTCGAACTCCGACTGTCCGCAACTGAGCGATTCGCGTCTGCGCAGCAACAAGTTGTATTCGAGACTGAAACCAAAATCGGAGTTAAAGCCGTAGCTCTCCCTCTCTTGTGGTACCTCACTCTCGCTCTCTCTCTCGCCCTCTCTCTTTCGGCGAAGAGAGTGCACACAGGTAAAAATAAAGGTGAGCGGCGAAATCTCAAGCGCAGATCAGGTCAAAATAAAAGCAAAGCCAGGCAAGACAACAACAATACAGCACAGCTGCACACCGCTCTCGAGCTCTCTCCCGCTCGCTCGCTCGCTGAATACAGCCCTCCCACTTGCTCTAACAGCGGCCATCTACATCCACAGGTAATCGTAAACGTAGCAGCGTTTTAAAAAGTCAGCGTTATTCGAAACGATACGGCGAGATACATTCGGCAATCTCCCCCGAACCCGAACCAACGAATGCTCTACATAAGATGGGAAAATCTTTAGAACTCTTAGAACATAATGCAAAAAGTAAATGTTATATCATTCGAAATGGAGGGAAATACCAACTGGGGATTCGAAAGTTGGAAAATATTACGATATATCATAATATTACTCCCTCCTAACTTACAGAGTACTACCCAGAATGGCGATGATAAAGAACAGATTCAGATTTTAGATATTTATGAAACATATTTCATTCTATTATATCCCTTTAATACTAAAAGTAGTATATTAGGTACGACGGCGTTCTGTTAAATAATCATTAATAAATTTCATTCAAATAGGAATCTTTGTTTTACTATCTAGACTATGATGCAGATAAGGACTATCAATTTAAAAAACAATTCATTTTGAAGGTATTTAAGTTCTTGATGGCATCCTCAGGTTAAAGAACGTTTAAAAGGCACTACTGACAGGCCATAACTTGCAGATCCATAAGGTAAAATAGAAATACATATTATATCATAATGATTAGCATTCTGCACTTCAAGATTCTTAGTTAAAGTAACTTGTTTTGAGCAACATGAATCTGAAAGTGACATAACCACTTATAGAAACAATCTTCTGATTTCCCCCGCCCTTTGAAGTACCCAATAGCAAAGTCAGGGGCGAAAAACGTAATGCTGGGATAATCCGGCAGCATCTTAACTCCGACAGCTGGGCAGGGCATTTAAGATTCGCATCGATTGCAGGTCGCTCACAGGTAAAGATCTTGTGTATATCCCAATTTCTTGGCACCATTGTTGTTGTTGGAGGTTCTGCTGTTTAGTGTCGCTTCGTGTTGTTGTTGCAGCCAAAATAGCGGCGAATTCGAAAACGTTCAGGTAAAACGATCGTCGCTCTCTCACCTGGCTGTGTGTCTGTATGTGTTGGCAAGTGAGTGTGGGCAATGCTGCCATATAAGACCTCGGCGAATGTGTAGATGTATCTGTGCCCGCATCTGCAAAAGTATCTGTGATCAGAGCCTGCGTGGGCCATGGATTGTCTTTTGGCAAAAAGATCGCTGTTCGAGCGTTGTCAACATTGTTAGGGCAGATCCGAGATCTCGGCTGCCTCTTCTTCTTCTTCACCTGTTCCCAACCCACAAGAAATCGGGGTTTTTACGCCTGCGCCATGTGCTCTGCGGGATCGGGACTGGGATTGGGTTTTGGGCCAAAAGGACACTGTTTAGGCAGGTAAATCCGAACCGTTTTGACCTTTTCGCTTTGGCATGACACAAACACAAAAGGTGCACTTGGAAAAGCGCAACCAACTCGCCGAGCCGCATTCGAATCTCGAGTCCCACGCTGCGACTCTCGAGAGGCGTTGCATTGTCTCGCTCGGCGCTTTGTTTCAGAGCATGAAAATACATTTAAATTGAAAAGCGTTTCGGTGGGGGAAAGCGCCGTGCTCTTCGATCTGCAGCCATAATCAAACATATTAATAGCCGTCTGGTCTCGGCGATAGCAGACCTCAATCAAAGGGCCACAGCCCAACCCGTACAGAATCATCTGTCAAAATCGAAGAGCATGCAACTGACAGCCGAACATCGAGTTGAGAACGATCTCAGAACTCCGAAACCACTTCAGGGCACTCCACCAGTCTGCCACTCTGCAACTCTGCCACTCCACCACTCGGATTCTGATGATCCACAGGTAAACGCCGCTCGAAAGGTGTAAGATGCCGAGATACCGAGATACCAAGCCGCCCCGACCCACACTCATAAACATTTGATGAAGCGTACAAAATGCCAAGCGAAGAGAAATGTTTTTTAACTCCCCCACTCCAGTGCAGCACTCCATCTGCCTATGATCTCTCCTCTGGTTTTCCCAATTTCAAAAGAAAGCCTCGAGAACCAGACCCTTGAAGTGATTCCTTGGCCGCTCTACAGGTTGTCGGAATCATTGGAATCATCGTGATCATAACCATCGATGTCTGGCAGTCGAAGTCGGAGTCGAGGCGTTACTTTCAAGTGCCACGCAGATTAAGAGTAACAAAAGGCCGGCTCAGGAGGCGCTCAAGTGTCTCGGGATGAGAGGGATGCTCCAGCCCATAGGGCGCATCGAATCCGTTGCATTATGAAGTGTTGCACATTGGCAACATGGTGTTCAGCAATGGAAAAACAAGAAACATGCCTACATAATAGAGGCTTAAGATTGGCAAATAACATTGAAATACTTTATATGTTCATGCCTTAGGATCATTATCTTAGCCTAGCCAAAACTAAGCAGTTACGTTCTTCAGCAAAATGATACTTTATAGATTTTTTGGTTTTATATGTAAAGCTTAGCCATATATTCTGGAATACCAAAAATTAACACCTTAGTCTTAATGGAATGATTTAATACGATGAGATCAGAGCAAGCTCAAAAGCAAATAGTTGTTTAAAATCAAAATTAAAACTGTTTTATACCCAACTATTGACCCCAGTTTGGTAATTAGGTGTTCTAAAAATAAACCAAATCGGCAGCTAAAAATAGAAGAGACTGTGATTAGCCTCGGCAATCAAAGAAGCATTAGCGAACTTGAAAGAAATTCCTATTAGCTGTGAAATTTGCATAGAAAAAGACATAATTATCTCATTTTTCTGCCTTCATTTTTAGCCTAATTTTGGCCAACTTTAAGCGCGTGCCAGCCCTAACACCTGAAGGCGGGTAATTGGATTACCTGGCCCTTTGGCACAGTACTCTGCCTTGGCAATCCCTCAATACAGACGATAGATCGATCAGATTCCGGCTGCGGTTGTGCTTCATCAGCATTCAACTTGTCACATGGCTGTGAAAAGCTGCTTAGAATTAAAGCTAATTGCCGAGGCCCCGAACATGATGCGGCACATTTGAGCTCTTAGCTCTTTAGGGCCAGCAGTCCTCCAATTCCTCCTATTCAGCCCGACTAATTGGCCGACAGATCGCCTTTAGCTTCAGCTTTAACTTTAACCCCCAGCCAAAAGGCAAGGCAGAGGCATGCAAATACGCAGAAACTTTGACTTCATCTCATCGTTTCTTTAGCATAAAGATTTTTTATTTTTGTTTTTCTGGTTTTTTACTGATTTTTTTTATTGATTGTCGCCGTCGTCTGCTGTGTTGGTGCACGACTCACGTTTCACAAAAAACACAAAAAAACACAAAAAACACACAGAAACAAGCAGCAGGGGTAACACCAACAACAACAAAAAAAACAACAAAATAAGAAGAAATACAAAATAAAGAGTGCCTCAACGTCTCTCGGGCTGATTTCGAGTTTTTTGAGCTTAGCGCTGGGTTCCTCGTATTTTTGTTTCGCCGCTCGCCACTCGTCGTTTGCCGTTCGCCGTTCGCTTTTCATTCCTTTTAATGTCTTTGTAAACATAATTGCAACAACTCCAATAACAGATTGTTTGCGCGACTTTAATCGCTTTGTCGTGAAGTGTGAAATATGAGCGTCCACGTCGCTGGGGAGCTTTCGGCGGATCTCCGTCTACGTCCCTGGCTCAGAGTCTTGGAGGGTCCAAGTACGGGCCCATCTCTCCCACCCGATTTATAAATATCCACGAAAATATTTTTGTTAAGAGTCTGTCCCCATAGCCCATAATATTTGCAATGTGTGGCTTGTGCCGCTAAATGTAAATTATGGCCAGCCAGCAACTTTGTTGGGCGGCCATTTTGGGGAGCGGACAGCAACAAGTTCAATTAGCGCATCGGTTCGATTTGCTAAATTTAATCCGGGCATAAAGCACGAACTGAACGCCACGCCACTCCGGCCAGATAAGCAAAAGCACCTCCCGGAGCTAGAGAGAATCCCAATCTGGTGGCGATAAGAGCGCGGAGAGAACCCGAGAATCCGAGAAACGGACGTTTTAGCCACGCACACGTGTGCTGCACTGAGAGAAATCATCTTTTGATAACTTTTGGGATCTTAAGCCATCTTATTAATCAATATTAACAAAAAAATGATGCACATACTATTTAACCTTGTTGACAAAACACTTTTCTAGCGATAAGAAATGGGAGGAAGATAAGAGTCTGGGGAAAACCAAGGCAGGACCAATGACCCAAATTAATCTCTCTGTGCACCGATTGGGTGTTGGGTTTGCCTTTTGGACCTTGGAGTGCAGGGCGCCCGTCGACAACAGCATGTTGCAACAACACTCGACAGCGGCAACCTGTGGAGCCTGCGTGCCATTAGCCATGGAGCATGAAACAAAAGCCGAGCCAGCAAGATGGAGCACTCGGGAGGAATGGCTCGAAGTGGAGTGAAGTGGAATGGAGTGGAGTGGAGGCCTGCCACAATGCATTTGCGATAAATGGCAGGCTTGCAGGCCTGGAAGGCCCTTAAAAGCCAACGACAACAACGGCAGAGCGACGACCACGAAGTGAAGTGAAAGATTTGCGCAGTGAGATAGCTCATTTTGGATCTGAGCCGGGTCTGGGCCAGTTCTTCGTTTGTTACCTTGGCTAATCGGCGGCTATGTAAGATGGTTGTTGTACGTGCGGCGACAGAGTCTCCAGCCTTGGTCCAAAGTCAAGACCACGAACGTGCTGCTGCTGTTCCTTTTGCTGTTCGATGTTGCTGATGTTGACACCAACAACAATAGCAACAACAGCCAGAACAGCAGCAACATCAGTCCTCCTCAGTCGACCACAGCCGCCTTCCGAAATGTAAGGATTCATGCAGCTCCAAGGGCCGCCCCACTGGCAGCAAACTGGCAAGGTCAATAAATCCAGAAATCTAGAAATCCAGATTAGTGATGGGGCAGGGTATTATTTTTTCTACTTATATAGCTAAACTTGAGGTTGAAAGGGGTATAAAGAGGTTTTAAGAATACGACTTAGTGGAAATATCATGGAATCTAAGCATATATATTTCTTATTATTTCTTATTTCATATGAAAACAAGGAAAACATTATCTATATAGAACTCTTAAAGAGTTACCAAAGGTATTGAGTGCCCTCCTATGATTAAGACTGTGACTAAACGATTGGCTGGCACTTAAAACATCTCAGATCAAAGCCATAAAGACGCCATTTATAAAAGCAACGCTAGATTCTGTCTGCTTGTCACAGATTGAATCCAAACAAAACACTCATAATTAGATGAAAATTAATTTGGCATCGTCTTTCTGCTTAGCTGTTCGAAGTTCGAAGTTCGAGCATTCCAATTCGAATATTCAAATTCCAATGCTATTCATTTTTTGCGGCTCATTTGCTTATTTCAAATGAAAATGATTATTCCAGCAGTTGTTGTTGTTGTTGCTGTTGTTGGTGGTAGTGTTATACCTCCTTTTGGTTTGTGTGTTTTTCTGAGTGTGTGCAGCCAGAGTTTCGAACTTAAACCGGTTTAGCACACAACGGCAGCAGCAGCCAACGTTGGCCGTTACCAAAGCTCCGACTTGGCCAGCGAGTCGAGTCGAAAGAGAGTCAGAGAGATCGGAGAACGAGATGAGATGCTGGCAGCCAAGCCCAAACCCACACACCTCTCTTGTTGTGGGCATGTGTATGGATTTCCGAAGAAACGATTGCTCAGCATCCAACACACAGCCATGGGGAAATAGGGGGAATTCTTGGATATAGTGGGATTCCAGTTCCCCTTTTTCACTCGCTCGCCAGCTAAAGTTCTCTCAACTCCCTAAGCATATAGCGAGTAGAAAGTCCTTTTTAATATGAACTTCAACTGAGTAATGGGCTTTTCCAAAAGCATTTGATTCAGAGCTGTTTTGTATTTAAATTTAAATTCCTGGAATCAATAACAAGTTCAGACGAAAACACTCCAAAATGCCATACTTATTTCCAACAAAAATCATATAAAAGTGATAAGAATCATGGAAAGTCCGGGCAATGTCAAAAAAATTCTTAATGTTTGTCGTTATCTTCGATTTCGCAAAAACACATTAGCCCCGCATGGCAATCTTTTAGTTCCTACTTTGACATGAAGATCAACGCAGCTGTTATTGCCCTGCTTTCTTGTGCTTTAATGGTAGATGGGGAACCCACTCCTATATCATTACTGGAAGCCGATTGCGGAGTTTCGATTTCGGGTTCTAGTTCTCAGAATAGCAAGATAGTCAATGGCTGGCCGGCAGATATGTTTGGTAATCCATGGATGGCATTGATAAGCAGCAGTGTCACCTGTGGAGGTTCCCTCATTACAAATCGTAAGCATCTATTTCGATAGGGAAGATCTTAAAAGGGAAGATCTTAAAACAATATCATTCACAGGCTTTGTGCTTAGTGCTGCCCATTGTCGAACTAACAGTCATACGTGAGTATCCTTGAGTTAATGTCACTATATTTCTTATATCCCCTTATCTGATTACAGGGTTGTATACCTCGGGGAGTTCGACAGATCAACCACCACTGATTGCTCCAATGCAGGCTGCATGCCCAATGCCATTGGCATCCCCGTCGATGCCCAGATAGCTCACCCCAGTTACATCCATCTCTCCCAGAATGACATAGCTCTATTTCGACTGGCCACTCCGGTGCAATATACAGGTGAATGAACAGCAAGGCCTGCCTGGATCTATTAACTCGAACTTAACCCTAACTAGCCTACATACAGCCCATCTGTCTGCTGACCAACTACAACCCCTTGAACAGCATCAGACACTTGACCGCCACGGGATGGGGCAAAACAGAATTCGGACTCCCAAGCAGCATTCTAAGGACAGCCACCTTAACCCAAGTGGATCGATCCTACTGCTCTGGCATCTACGGAAACAGAGTGGACATGTCCCATATTTGTGCCGGAGACTACAATTCCCACACATGCATGGGCGATTCTGGAGGTCCCATATCCGCTGTAATAACAATCAACGGGAGGATTCGTGTGGCTCAGTTTGGTATCGTCAGCTATGGAGATAGTGAGTGCCGGGAATTGGGGGTCTACACGAATGTCATGCACCACATGAACTGGATTGCTAGTGTCGTACGACATGGAGGACCTCAGGTCACACAGAGACCAAACTATTATTATATACAATGGTATTACATTTAATATCTTTAAGCTTATAAAAACGTATTTAAATATCACCCTGTTTACTGCCAAAGAAGGAAACCAGTTTATTTCTCTTACTTCAAATCAAAACAACAAAAGAGTGCTGCTGTTTTATCCGCCTGAAATCAGCTGAAATAACCCAGAAGTATAACCCATTCAGCGATCAGTACGCTCGCACTGCTGGAGTATGGAGTTCACGTGGAACGCTCTACTCACTACACTGGCCTGTTCAGGAATTGTAGGGAGTCTGGGTACTAGTAACTATCTGGAGCAGCCTTGTGGCATTGTTCCGGTTCACAAATTCAAAATAGTTGGAGGCCATACTGCCCCAAGGGCCTCAACGCCATGGATGGCCAGTTTGATAGGAGAAAATGGTTTTATATGCGGGGCCACACTAATCACAAATCGTAAGTTTGAAAAGGGTATTAAAGATTGGATTAGCTTATAAGTTAATTGCAGGCTTTGTTCTGACGGCTGCTCATTGCTTGGGCAACGGAGAACTGTGAGTATATTTGCAAAGTCAATTCATTATACATATCACGTCTCGAGGATCTAGGAGAGTGCGTTTGGGCGAAAACGATCTTTCGAAAGGTGGCCAGGAGTTCAAAGTCGATGCAAGGATTAAGCACCATAATTATTCAGGAGATAGGCACGATATAGCCCTTTTAAGACTAAGTGCTAGAGCTCAGTATACAGGTAATGCAACGAACTACTTGGAAATTCTGGCATTTATTTAACAATAATACCTTAATACCTAGAACGCATCAGTCCGATCTGTTTGCTCTTGGATCCTCTTTTCAGTCATCTCGAAGACCATATAATAAAGTTTAGGACCTACGGCTGGGGTGAGAACCAGTTTGGAAGACTCAACACAATCCTGCATAAGACTAGCCTTTACAACACAGACCGAGTGAACTGTTCCAGGGAGTTCCAAAATCGGAGTATCGATCGGGATCACATTTGCGCGAAGGCTGCTAATTCAAGCACTTGCAACGGCGACTCCGGAGGTCCTCTGACAGCTATCGTAACTTATGATCATGTGGCAACGGAGTTTCAGTTTGGAATCGTCAGCTTTGGGAAACAGGATTGCGGGGGAGTCACTGTATTTACAAATGTCATGTCCCATTTGGAGTGGATCGTGGAGAACGTTCGCAAGGCAGAGAAAATCTAAGCTAAAAACTGGGAATTGCCCTTAATTCTAGATTTCTTTTTGTTTTGAATGAATAAATGTTTCGCAATTGGTTTCCTGTGTATGTATTACGCTGTTTATTATTGTTATATATTCCCATATATATATCACAAGAAATATAAGCTGATAAGCGCGGAATTCTATTGACCCTGCTCGGCACCACTGAGTTTAAAATGAAATGTCTTGTAGCTTGGACGTTTTTAGTGATCCACGGATCGCTGGCAATACATTTGCTAGATCCCAACTGTGTGAAAAGCCAGACTGGGATCAGTTATCACATAATTCATGGCCAAAATGCTGATACAAAGGCCAATCAATGGATGGTGCAGATACTTCTAAATGGCGATCACCATTGTGGCGGCTCGCTAGTCACCTCTCGTGAGTACTTCACATTATTTATATTATAAAATTCATTTCATGCCTTTTCGGTTTTTCAGGATTTGTTTTGACTGCCGCTCATTGCCAGAGCGGATTACAACTGTAAGAACTTAGCAAATGTAGAATTTTTCCAATTTAATATCAATCTTCTCTATCAAGGAAAGCGCGTTTGATAGGACGTGGCGGAACCACCTTAGACTACGATTGCTCAGGGGATAGTTGCAAGCCCATGAGTGCAGAAATCGATGTGGATGATATGTATATACACCCCGATTATTTGAGCTACCACCAAAACGACATCGCTATGTTTCGACTGGCACAATCTGTGAATTATACTGGTAAATCTAAAGACTTCATGAACTACTCAGCTCGAAGCTAACCACTTGTATTTAGATCTAGTGAGACCGATTTGTGTGGTGCAGTTTTCCTATTGGGAACCTGATCACTACGAGCTTCTTAACGAAATCACCACGTTCAATGTGACTGGCTGGGGCAAGACGGAAAGGGGATACAACAGTCCGAAGCTGCTATCAACTAGCTTATATAATCTCGATCGTACATTTTGCCTTAATATCTACTGGAGGAAAATCGGACAATCACACATCTGTGCTGGCCATGCAATATCCGCCACTTGCACCGGAGATTCTGGAGGTCCGTTGAGCGCAGAGCGGACCTTTTTGGGATTTTCTCGTACCTTTTTGTTCGGTTTGACTAGTTATGGCATTCCAAGTTGTGATCAGCCTTCCGTTTTCACAAATGTGTTGTACTACTCAAGGTGGATTGGACATATTGTTGACAAATACACTCCCAATTAAAATTTGTAAAAGCTAGCCCTTCTGGGGAGACTTTTAATGTTTTTCCCCGCTGACGGGGAGTATCTGGAAATGTTTCAATAAAGTGCAATCTTGTCCCTAGAACGCAAATTAAGTTATATTATACTTCCCAGAAATCATATGTACAGCCAATAACTTGGAACCCGGACCTCCGTGCGATAAGCTCGACTTTGGGATGCATTAATAAAGGCGTTTGCCATTGCAATTCCCTAGTCAGTCGTGCTTTCCTATTCATGAACATAATGGGAGCTGGAGTCTTAGAGCTCTTACTTTTAGTGGTCCTCGGATGCCTGGAGGTGCAGAGCTTTCCGCGCCTACTGGACCCACAGTGTATGACGGCCAGAGGCGAAACAGGTCGCTATCGAATCATTAACGGCAAAGCTGCAGATCTTTTTTCGAATCCCTGGATGGTGATAATCATCGAGCGCGGGATGATGCGGTGCGGAGGATCACTGATCACACCACGTAAGCAGTTTGAGTAGTTTTTACTTTCCTCAAATTCTTGAAGATAGTAACTTGTGAAACTTTCTTCAAGGTTTTGTTCTGACTGCTGCGCATTGTAGAAGCGAAACGAAACGGAAATTGTGAGTGCTTTTTTGAGATATTTGCTTAGCCAACATCGAACTTCTGAATTTAGGACAGTGCGCCTGGGCGAGTATGACGTGAATCAGGCCTTCGATTGCTCCAGACTAGGTTGCATTCCACGACCGAAGGAAATCAATGTGACTAATGCCTTTGTGTATAGGAACTTCGTTAATTTCCATAGAAATGATATAGCTCTCTTCAAATTGGAAACGGCAGTACAGTACGGAGGTAAGCCGAAGATACTTTTTGATTACCACTACTCACTTTAGACATTTTCCAATCCAGATTACATCAGACCGATCTGCCTGTTTGTCGGAGATGCACCTCGGACCGCGGAGCTGCTCAAGAATATAAGGCACTTCAACAGCACTGGCTGGGGTCGCACGCAGCAGCGTACCAATAGTCCCATCCTTCAGCAGATAACCCTGACGCACTACGACCTCAGCTACTGCTCCAGTTTCTTCGGCAGGTTGATGGATAACTCTAAAATTTGTGTGGGCAGCGCCACAAGTTCAACGTGCAATGGCGATTCGGGAGGTCCGCTAACTGCGAGGCTTCAGTTTGGCAAGGATAAGCTGGTCGTCCTCTTCGGGGTGGTTAGTTACGGAGCCGCACACTGCCACGGGCCCACTATCTACACGAGCGTTGTTCCCTATGCCGATTGGATCGAGTCGGTCGTTAGAAACCACTAATATATAAACTTTCAACCTAATAAATATGAGTCATGAAGTATCGCTGATTTTCAACATTAAGCTGATAACAGAGCTTTTAGAATTTAAAATGGCAGAGACTTAAATACAGATGTAAGTCGCCAATCTTGGAGCCTCGTCTTATATGTTGCTATATATATATATATACGAGTATATTGCCGATAAGGTTCTCTCTCGCGCACTGCAACCTTTTCTGAGATATTTCAGTTTGCCCGCTTCGTCCCATTCGCAATGTTCTGGATTTTGCTGACATGGTGGATTGTTTTAAAGGACCACCAAGCAAATGCCTTATTTCTGGAGCCCAACTGCGGCTTTATGTCTCAGGAGGCACTTCAGAACGAAGGCCACTTCGCACACATATCCGAGAGTCCTTGGATGGCTTACTTGCATGACTCCGGCAGGTTTCTGTGCGGTGGAACCCTAATAAACCATAGTAGGTAACCTCAAGCCGCCTACTCATCTCCTATTTACCCTTATATTCCCAAAGGATTCATCCTGACAGCCGCCCATTGCATAAGCAACAACGATAGCCTGTAAGCATGAGAAAAGAAAAGTTGAACTGCCTTAAGCTGAAATTACCCCTACTTGTAGAACCGTGAGATTAGGAGAGTTCGATAGCCATTCTGCCCAAGACTGCATCGGCTCCGATTGCATACCGCCCTCTGAGGAGTTCCAGATAGACTTGGCCTTTCGGCACAGAGATTACTCGAGGTCCGATCACTACCACGACATTGGGTTACTTCGCCTGGCCAGGTCGGTGGAGTACAAAGGTAAGGCTAATGCCGAATGTAACTTGCAAATCAAGATATTCATTTGAACAGCTCACATCAGGCCGATTTGCCTGATCACAAACACTGCCCTCCACCCGCGCATTGAGCAGCTCCAGAGACTGGTGGCCACTGGGTGGGGCAGCGGCTCCATCGGATCTCCGAACCGCAAGCTCAAGTCCATTCGAGTGACTAGGATAAATCGGAGGGAGTGCCAGGTAAGGTATTTGGTGGAGTGCCGCAGGGATCAGATCTGTGTAGGCCACGAATCCGGGAAGACGTGCAGCGGCGACTCTGGAGGACCCATGGGGCATGCCTTGAGGTTTCAGGGTCGAGTGTTCTTCGTTCAGGTGGGAATCGTGAGCTATGGCAACCCGGAATGCCGTAGCCCCAGTGTTTTCACGGATGTAATGGGCCATATGGATTGGATCAAAAGGTTCGTTGAGCAATACTAAACTGTAACAAGAAAAAACCCGACTATAAGATACCCTTTACTGTATTAAACAATTTTGAATGTTTTTGGAACATTTTTCTGAGAAACTTATAGAAAAGTTGTTAAGGTTTAACGTTTATATAAAACGCTTATATAAAAATATTGAAATAAAATAAAGGAATTAAAAACGGACTACATTTCAGAAGGTCCCATCTTATATTGATTCTCTCTCCCGCTGCCAAAATATACATAAACATAATCTTATATACAAATATATAACTGCTGATAAGGCTCATTATTGTTTTGTTATATACAAGAATTAATCTAATAATCTTTATGGAATATAAAAACAAAAAACCCAACGATAAAGTAGGGAAAAGGTCAAACAGCACAATCCAAAAGGAACTAAAGAAAAAGATTTAATTTCGGAAATGTGTAGATTGCCAGAGAAAGATTATCTTTAGTCGCAGCACCAATAAACAGCCTGCCCTTATTGCTTCGACTCCTCATTGCTTTGAGCATCATGGACGGGACTAGTCGAATTTTGATAGCACTGGTGGCATTCCTTTTGATTGCGATTCAAGATGGATCGGGAAGACTGCTGGACGACAGCTGTGGGATAACATCCCCGAACCCAGTAACCCCGAAAATAGATGGTGGTAAAGATACCGACATCTTTTCTAATCCTTGGATGGTTCGTGTAATGGAAAATTGCAAAGTAATCTGTGGCGGCTCTCTTATCACATCTCGTAAGTATTTAAATTTTACTACCAATTCACTTCTAGTTTAGTTTTAACGTCCGCTTTCACTTGCAGGATTTGTACTCACGGCAGGGCATTGCGTATCCACCTCTCATATGTAAGTTCAGAATGCATTATTTTGCCAGATTTTTCTCAGCTTTCCTTTGCAGGCAAGTGCGCTTGGGCGAATTTGACATCAAATTTCCACCGAAAGAACGGGCCTTTACTCTTGATGTGGATAAGAAGATTATCCACAGGAAGTTTAGTTTAGACTCGCATGATATAGGGCTGCTTCGATTGAATCAGACTGTCATGTTCTCAGGTAATTGAGATCAATAAGGAAACCCAACTCAGTCTAGCTAACCAGTTTCCCTTTAGACTATATGAGGCCGATCTGCGTTCTTATCAATGAGCGAATTGGGCCCTATTCAATATTCAACGTCACCGGCTGGGGTGCAAACAGTAGAGGCGAAACCCCGGCTACTCTACAGATTGCCACCCTTTCCCAAATGGATCGTTACAAATGCATCCGAAAATTCAAGTTGGAGGATACCATGGACTGGATATGTGCGGGCAGTGAAACGAGTGATGCCTGTGAAGGCGACTCTGGAGGGCCGCTAAGCGCATTGCGCATGTATCAAGGACGACGAAGGTTTTTTCAGTTCGGTGTGATCAGTAAAGGCTTAAGAAGTTGCAATGGCTTGGGATTTTACGCTAATGTGGCATACTTCGGCAACTGGATCGCGGATGTTATCCAGAATTTTTAAGATTTCGATTAACATAATTCTAGACCATATGTACGACACCGTTTTGTCCTGCAAATGGCATTTGCATTTGGATGGTTAAAAGAAGAAGAAACGCTATAGTCAAATTATTCATTATTTTAATTAATAAAACTAAAAGTGTTTTTGAGTAACGATTAACGTTGATAAAGAAATAAAGGTCACCCGAAAAAGTCTCTTATCTCTGAAATTTTGGGAAAACCCAGCAAAATGAGGTCAGTCTAGGGAATATACATGGAAATGATAACATTTGCCATTATGTTTTTTGAGATGGTCTCTTTTTGGCACTTGGGAATGATCGACGAACCGGAGCCAAAGGTCTCCTACCCTTGGATTGTTTTGGTGAGCAGAGAAGAAAATTGTTGCCGGCTCGCTTATCAACTCTCGTATGCATTTGAACTTTGATATTACGAGACACTTTATCCCGGTAAAGAATGCTCATCGGGTTTTTCCATACCGAAGGACTTTGAGATGGATGTGGTATGAAAAATGACCACAGAAACTTAGGAGTTTATACAAATGTTACGCACTTTACAAGCTGGATCTTAACTGATATTTAACTTTTTGGAAGTCAATATATTTACATTAGAAATGGATTCCTTCTCCCATTACCAAAATATACATAAACATAATCTTGTATACAAATATATAAATGCTGATAAGGCTCATAATTAATTTTACTAAGAAAATTAAAAAAAAAAATTCCATCGAGATAGCCAACGATGATGTATAGAAAAGGTCAAGTAGGTCAATCCAAAATAAAACTAAAAAAAAATGTTTCAATTCGGAAATGATTTTTTTGCAGTGCAAGATGATTATTGGCGTCCGCTGACCTCATTATCAACTAGTGGTTTCCAAAAAATTTCGAGCCAGTGTTATACGTCTATTGATTCATTGTTTGAAACACCATGGATGGGGCCAGTCGAATTGCAATAGTGGCATTCCTTTTGGTGTCGACTAAAGATGGTTCGGGAAGATTGCTGGACAACAGCTGTGGGACAATAGCCCCAAGCCCAATATATGCGAAAATCGAAGCTGGCAAAAATGCTGACATCTTTTCCAACCCATGGATGGTTCGTGTAATGGTAAATTGCACAGCAATTTGTGGCGGCTCTCTTATCACATCTCGTAAGTATTTAAATTTTATTATCAATGCACTTCTAGTTAAGTTTTAACGTCCGCTTTCACTTGCAGGATTTGTACTCACGGCAGGGCATTGCGTATCCACCTCTCATATGTAAGTTCAGAATGCATTATTTTGCCAGATTTTCCTCAGCTTTCCTTTGCAGGCAAGTGCGCTTGGGCGAATTTGACACGCGGTATCCATCAATAGAACGAGCCTTTACTTTTGATGTTGATAAGAAGATTATCCACAGGAATTTTAGTATAAACTCGCATGATATAGGGCTGCTTCGAATGAATCAGACTGTCACGTTCTCAGGTAATTGAGATCAATAAGGAAACCCAACTCAGTCTAAATAACTAGTTTTCCTTTAGACTATATCAGGCCGATCTGCATTCTGATCGATGAGCCAATTTCGCCCATTTCAATATATAACGTCACCGGGTGGGGCAGAATCAATAGAGAACACTTCCCGTCTATTCTACAGATTGCCACCATTCGGCAATTGGATCATAACAAATGCTTAAAAAAATTCAGGTTGAAGGATGCCAATGACTGGATATGTGCTGGCAGTGATACGGATGATACCTGTGAAGGCGACTCTGGAGGCCCGCTAAGCGCATTGCTCATGTATCAAGGACAACGAAAGTTCTTTCAGTTCGGTGTGATCAGTGGTGGCTTATTTAGTTGCAATGGCTTGGGAATTTACGCCAATGTGACATACTTCAGCAACTGGATCGCGGATGTTGTCCAGAATTTTAAAGATTTCGATTAACATGATTATACCCCAGCTGTACGAAACCGTTATGTTATATTATTAAGAGCTTTTGTACATTAATTTGTTTCTTAATAATAAAGATATAGATTACAAAATAGGAAATATATCATGGATTTAACTCGCTTTGTGTTTTGATTTGAAGAAGAAACGCTGTAATGCAATGCCGCGACTTTAAGATACCCGTTACAGTTTTAAACAATTTTAAAATATTTATATTGTTAGTGGAAATTGACGAGGCGACAATTTTTTAAACATTTCAGCGATTTTTGTTTTCTCTGATTTGTGGGCGTGGCAGGATGCAGCACTGCGTAGGGACCTCAAGAATCTGCATGTTTAATCTGAACTTTATATATCTTATAGTCCTTATATGACATCTGGCAGTTGTTTCCGGGGAAACCTTAAGTTTTTTACTTTACCTTTACATTTTACACGAATTTTTATTACATTTGACACGCTTTGTTACATTGTTACACTGTTACAGCGACATCTAGCGGCAAGTAGATGCAATGAGATACCATCTCATATGTACATTGTACAACGTACGTAAAACGTTAGCGGAGACACGACCCAAAAGTAACAAAACAGTGTGGCATACCTGCAGCGAATCAACCGAAAAACTTTAAATTGCGGAATTAAGTTATTAAAAGCCTAAAAATCAATACCATTAAGACGCTCTGAATCTGAAATAATTTACGTTTTTCAAATAGAAAAACAAGTGAGATAATAGCATTAGCAGTTCCCTTTACTAGCAATGCTTTTGAACACGTTTTGGACCAGAGGGCAGACTTCGATTAGCTTTCGATTTATCAGCATTGTTCATGCTAGGGGCACAAAGGTTAACCCTTGAGTTGCGAAATCACGAACAGAAATCGAATTGAATTTCGCGTGTGCCGGCCAGGCAAATCCACGGGCCGTCCATCTGCCCACTGTGCTGGTTTCTGCGATGTTCCAGTTATTAGGCGGTCGCAGCACATAAACTAGTACGGAATACCATTAACCCCCCTGTGCCATTGTTGCACGTCCACAGGTCATACTCGGGCGGGAGTAACTCTACTTCTGCGTCGGCGTTGCCGTTGCCGTTGCCGTTGCCGTTGGCGCAAGCGCACTCACATGGATCGAGGGACGGGTTAGTGCGGCAGCAAAGCAGCCAAAGAACACCCGATGTGGGCAACCAGGCGTTAAGTTTTTCCAACTTCGTATTTTGGTCTGTGCTTTGTTTTGCTTTCTGTTTTTGCGGGGGCGGGGTGGGTCAAAGGGTGGGGGAACTCCCTTTTGTCGGGCAATGCGCATGCGTGTCGGTGTCGCCACCACCGAACTAAGGGCTAAAAGGGGTGAGGGCGAGTGAGTGTGTGTGTGAGGGGGAAGTTGGCCTTTTGTCCAATATCGCGTAGTGCAACAATTGGCTGCCAGCTGGGTATCTGTTGCACTCACAAGCATACACTGAGAGAAAAATCTGAGAGGAAATCAATAAATCACTTGAGTACCAAAGTAACTTTACATCTGGCAGTGTAGTTTGAGAGTCTTCATTAAGTTAATTCGTAATGATTTGATATAAATTGCCCCTTCTGTTATCTTCTCTGGCCGAACTAAGATTTAAACTTCTTAAACTATCTTTGTAATTCCCCGATAAAATCCTCTAAAATTGATACAATCAAATAGTGCAACAGAACTCATAGTTTTTCCGTGTGCAATCACTTCGAGCAGTTCTTGCCATAAAACACCTCATGCATAACTCTGGTATCCCCCGATTCGTCGCCACGACAACGGAGAGTCGCGTTTTGGCCGGGCCAAAACAATTGTGCCACGGCGTTCCGCTGCCTGCGCGCCTCCACCGGCGTTGCAGTTTAAAGTTGAATGCTGCATTTGATTACGATACGGCGGCGATTGCCACAGCGGCCTTAATGAATTTCCAATTGTTTGGCATTTTATTCTCATTTGGGATTCTCGTCCGTCTGTTTTGTTTGCTGCGTTTTTTCTACGTTTTTTTGGACACTCATTCAATGGATTTGAGCTAAACTTCGTCACGAGCTCAGCTGCCTAATTGCCTTACAAACCTTTAATTGTCGATCACGAACATACATGTATATAGAGAACCCAGATTCGACATCTGCAACGAACTCACCTGCAACGACAGAGAAACAAATGTTAAAGATTAGCAAAGAGCTTGTGGAAAATATTATAAAATTCTTAAAGTATACGAATTTTGAGAGTAGGAAAACCTTTAAAAACAAAATTAAGGGGGTGTAAGTTTACTAGCTTTTCCCAGAATAACTATTTTCCCATTACTTAAAGGGGCCTGCAGAAGGGAGTGTTCGATTGATACCCACGGCAATTGCAAAACGCTGACAAATGTTGCTGTTGCCTGTTGCTTGTTGGCTGATTGCTGATTGCTGGTTGCTGGTTGCTGGCTGTTGGCATTCCCAGCACTTGCAACACTTTCGCTTCCCAGAGAGTTTCCGCAACCCAACGCCCCACACCCTCCCTTCCCCACACTCGCCTTTCAATTCACACGCTGTGCGCCCAAACGCGAAAAAGTTCTCACGACACTGAAACAAGCCAGAAAAAAAGATCACGCCGAAGAGAGATGCCAGCCAGATGAGATGAGCTGATCCCCCCACTCCCTTTTCCCTTTTCGCACTCACTTTTTTGTGCAAGAATTTTGAATGCATTTACCCCAAAACACAGTTGCACATTGCAGTGGCAATGTCAAGAATATCGCAAAAACAACAACACGGCCAAGGGAAACTGTGGCAGATCTCAGCATATGCCAGATCCCGATCCCCAGTTCCAGATGCTAATTGTGGGTTAGCAGCGCTTCGCTCTTTGCGATCTGTGCCACTTTTTTTCGTGTGTTCTCTCCGCGGCTAAAGACACAGATGCAAAGGTCAATGCCACTGCCTGACAAATGAATTTCGAATTTCAAAGCGAAACGAGATCGTTTGATGCTGAATAATAGTTGGGTCACTCGGCACTAGCGGTGAATCATGCCAATTGAAATTTCATAACTTCTGGGAATCCATCTTGTTGTAAGGGTGATAAAACACTGTTTTCTAGGGCGAATGAGGTAAGATGCTGTGGCTAAAAAGAAAACTGAGGCCCAGGAAAACTTAGGGAGAAAAGCAGTACAGAGTTCTTAAAATTAATTTGTTTTTAAAGAAAGTCAAAAAGTGTTTAAGTAATACGTTCTCAGCTGTTGTTAGGCTACTCATCATCTTCTGTTTTTGTGAAAACTTAAAGTTAAGTTATTATCCATACAAATGTAAAATATTGTTATAGCCTTTAATAACCCCAAGCAGCTCTTACTTCCGAGAATAGCTTTTAATATTTCCAACTAATCAATGTTTTGCATTTTCCTTATCTCTATTGGGGTTTTCATAAGTAACCTGTTTCGTTAATCTAAGCAAGTAACATTTTTTTCAATATAAACAACTTGAATGATACCTTTAAGATCTACCAGATTGTTTTTCCCTCATTGTTCGATGCCCTAAAGAACCACATCTCCACATCTCTTACCAATTCGATTGTCCGCTAAACGCTTTCCGAATTCCCACAATTTCAGCATCCGCTTGTTGGGCCAGCAATCTCAATCTCTCCCATATGCAAATGCCCACCTGACGGCGAAGGCAACAAAAGGTTGACCCACAGTGAACTCGAAACTTCAGAATGGAAAGCAATCTTCTCACATTATAAATCATCCAAGCCCGAATTTGAGTCCAGAGGAGGAGGCGGAGACTAGACCCCTCAAAGGGGCCGAATGTTAATTAAGTGCTAAACTGCAGATTCTCAAAATCGTGGCTTCACATGATTTGATGGGCAATAAAAATGTGGAAATACATTGTGAGTTCGTAGGCGGATGTTGGACGTATAAAACCAGATGAAATGGCGGACTGGCAGACTAACAAATTGCATTGTTGTCACCAATGGGCTGCCTGGTTATGCTCTACATAGAGGGAGATATGTGACCGTATCAGTTGGCTTACGCAATTGAATGTTTGTCGGGCTAGCTGGGTGGGGATCACCTTGGATCATCATGCTCAGCATTAGAGAGGGATACTGCTAGACAAAGTCCGGATTCAGTCTTATCATCACACGAGTCAGGTTCCATCTCTCGCTGGATGTCAAAAGTTATCACAGATAACACACAGCACTCACTAGTAATCAGCAGTGCTGAGCTGCAGAGCTTACGGCTGCCAGAGCGACCAACTAGCTGACTAGCCGTGCAAGCGGAATTTCAGTGAAGTAACAAAAACAAAAGTTGAGACAAATCGAGGACGACAACCGACCGAACAACGCTGGCGACAACAATTCCAGTGAAAGAAAAAAGCAGAAAAAAGCAGAAAAAAACAGCAAAATATATTATTTATAAAACACTCACACCAGCGGCCACAAAAATAATTGAAAAAACAAATGGAAGAAGAGCGAGAGAGACAGGGGGAATAACGCTGAAATAAAATATGAAATGTTGGCAATTAATGAACGGAAAAAAGAGCTGGGGAAAAAATGAGCTTGCGACATGACCGATCCAACGACCGATACCAGACGCCTCTGACTCCGACTGGGTGACCACTGGGCTTGGCCACGGCCCAGTGACTTCTGCCGGAGCCTTCTGCTCTAGCCCCGATGCACAGTCAGAAATGGGGGGAACTTGCTAACTACTTTCAATAGAAGATTTCGTGTGGAAGATACTTCTATATCTATAGAGCTATTGATAAAAGAACCTAAAATCATATGGTAACATCTAAAGAACTCCCACTTTTTCTCCGTGTACAAAGCTGGGGGATATCAATCAAACTATGAGCGGATCGTTAACTCTGCGGACTCAACTCGTGGCAGCTGACGGAGGAGGAATAGCCAGAATGGGAGTCGGAGCCGAGGACAAGATGCGATGCAGATGCCCGATTGCGGCATGGCAACTCAAGTTGGCAAACAAGGCAATACTCTCATGTTCGGATCCCGGCTCCTGGTCGCTTTAATTAAAGCGAAGACAAAGGGTAAACATAAACACTGAGCGGCAGCAGCCAGGAATGGAGCGCTCAAGTCGCTCGGTTTGGTCAGTAGGATGCCACTTGGCAATTGATCACAATTATGTCGCTGCAGCAGCATCGCCAGCGCCATATTGGGACCACGAGTGGCCCCCGCCTTATTGGGCATGTTGGAAAATTCACATCATTTCCAGCTGACAATTCGGTCAAAGAGTGCAAAAAGCCAACTGC